AATTTGGTAAGGCTCGCTACCGTTAAAGGATTTAGAGCACAAGGATGTGCACCGGAACGAACAAGGGACACCGTACCCGATCTTAACTATTGAAATGCACGTGATGTTCTCTCGAAAGAGTTTTGTTTAGAGTTTAATAAATACCAACATGATTTATCATGTTGAGTCGTAAATGTTCATTGGGCGTATGTTGGGGCCCTTTGAAACTATTTTTTGAGATAGTTTAGTTGTTTTTGTAGAGTTGAAGTCGACAATTTAAGAATTTTATGAATTCGTCTAAGTCTTTGCACTCCGTATCATGTTGTTTCACATTCTGATATGTAAGTTTTATTTTGCATTTAAGACTCGTCACAACGTTCTGTTGTTCGTCATCATATCTCTGTGCGCTATTCAGACAGATATTTTTCCTTAGTTCCAGAAAAATCTGACTCAATATGCTAATTTTCTTTTCTATATTTACACTAAGTGTTTACATCTAACTGCCCTGCTCGTTAATGTCTTCCTTAGTGTTGTTACCATTTGTCACCAGCTTGTTGTTTTCTTGTCCCTAGGTTTCGATTCTGTTATGTCATTTTCAATTTGTTCTAATTTAAGTTGAAACGTTCCATATTCTTTCTTACATTTTTCGAGCTGATTTTTCATTTAACTATTTCTGCCTGGAATTTTTATAGCTCTCTTTTGGACACATTCTTTTCTTTTAAAAGTTTGTTATTGTGTTTTCGAGTTCATCTGTCTGTTCTTTATAGTTTGTTTATTGTGTTTTCGAGTTCATCTGTCTGTTCTTTATAGTTTGTTTATTGTGTTTTCGAGTTCATCTGTCTGTTCTTTATAGTTTGTTTATTGTGTTTTCGAGTTCATCTGTCTGTTCTTTATAGCTTGTTTATTGTGTTTTCGAGTTCATCTGTCTGTTCTTTATAGCTTGTTTATTGTGTTTTCGAGTTCATCTGTCTGTTCTTTATAGCTTGTTTTCATTTTGAGGTCTCTCGTTATACTGTGTCCATAATTTTTGTCAACACTTGTACACCAGCTGTCAGATTGTATCGTTGATTTTTCGAAAGGGGCATATACGCAGACCAACAAATCTATCCTCCGCAATTATAGCTTGTGTGCTATGATAAATGTGTTAACTCTATATATTGGTAATGTAATGATGAAATATGACTACACATGGTCAAGAGAAAGCGTGCGATTTTTGTTTTTTTTAAAAATTTATTCCAGTTCATCAAAGAGTAAAAATTCGTCCTTTTTTATTAATACATTGAAAGATGAAATGCATCAGGTACTTACAGAAGAGAAGACAACTACCAACAAAAATTCGAATTTACATCATGTTTTATATAAAACTTTGTGGTGTATTCTGGTCGCGACAATCTTTACTCGGGCTGACGCCAAGAATTCGGTCAGCCCTCACAACACAATCCTCCAGCATATTTAATGGATAACCATTTTAAGTATAACTGTATATTTTATGTATATAATCGTGTCTCACAAGCCAGTTAATGGCTGGGCATTTTTACTATGATGGAATACATTTTAAAGAAACTGTATTTATTGTGTAAAAATGTGTGACACGGAAATAAAATGAAATATTATTATTATTATTATTATTATTATTTAATCTCCAATTATTCCCACAAACCCGTCCAGGTGAGTTCTCCTACTTTCTCTTTAAAGCGTGTCCATAAAAGGAAGTTACGATGCCGTTGGGTAATGAAAGGTCCATTCAGTTGAAGGGGAATAACTTGTAATAAACCAACTTCAATACTCACCCAAAACGTTCAATAACTTAATCTATTTATTATTAAAATAAATGTCAATACTTGTATCAGGAGTAGCATAGTGCGTTAAATCTTCATAAGTCCGCACGAGTTATCTATCCTTACGGTCCCAGTGGGACAGTGTAGCCCCTGATGCTACTCGTTTGAAGGTTCCCTGAATGCAACTGTGACGCGTATTATGTTGGAATATACTTAAAAATGCAGTTTACCGCGGTTTTATTAGATATACCTACAAGTCCATGAGTTTACACAATAAACCAATAGACAACGGAGAGGAATGGTATTTATAGCATATCCCTATGGTGTCTGAAACCTGACATTTTGTCTTTTCGCTTTGTTGCACCCACAAAGACGTCGGGCGAAAAATGGAATAACGAAAAGAAGAAAACCTGCCAAAGCGGAGAGACGAAAAACAGTCAAAGCAAAATCACGAAAAAACGCGAAAGAGCGGTTTAAAAAAAAGACGCCAAAGCGTTATGCTAAATGGTGTCTTTTTTACCTCAGATTGGCGTCTGTCGTCTTTTTCGGTTTTTCGCGCGGAAATGTCAGGTATAAGCCACCATATATATATCCCGACGAAAAATATCAAATCACAAACTCTATTTCATGCGAAAAATCTGAAACAAATGATGTTCAACCAGGGACCCTTTCAGTGATGCAGTTGAATTGGACAAACCGGTCGAACCAGTAAACGATCTTCCCTGTTCGTTTCGTGCCGAATGGGTTGCAGTGGCTGATCTGGCGCGCTTTGACTGAGGGGTCCAAGCGTTATCAAGATGACGGATCGGGTTGAAAATTAAAATTGGAACTTTGTATAATTTGGCAATAACCTATTATACATATGTTAACATCAGTACAAAGAAAGCATATATTCAAACATTGTTGCATATGATAAATAACTGCCGAAAGTGACGCCATTTACTTATATTATAACATTATATCGCGAATCTGAATCACGACATTTCAGTTATGAAGATTATTTATCAGTGTTCATCTTCATACTGCCGGTACGGACTATACGCCTACGTCCAGTAAATAATTATCATCAGTCCTACTGCGTTCGCCTTGCACTTTAAATGACTGAAATATTGTAATAGTATGGTTTGTTTTTTGTTGATACTCTACTCAGTTGATTTAATCGATGCTTGATCATATTCATATAGAGCTTGGAAAAAAATGTCAATTTCTGCATTATCTTTATATAAAGAGTAGCTTACTACTTAATTCAGTCATACTTGTATGTTAAATCTCTGTAACAACTGTTCCAAGGCCTTGCGGTATTTATATTTTTTCAGTTTTCTGTTTACAGAAAATGTTCTAAAGCTAAAATTGTATCATTATACTACAATCATAATACAATTTAACTATTAATTTCTTGTTTCATGTATGAAAGAAAAAAAATAATATTGTGCATTACCTTTAGTATATTAACCACAAACGTTTTACATGTTTGCAACAATTATAATCCTCAGTAATAAGCTTTATTAATTAGCCCTTTCACGGCAAATAGTTATAGCTGAATAAAGGTTGAGTTGAAACACATGGAGAAACTAAATGCATTATTCAAAATTTAAAAATGAGAAATAATTTAGTATCTCCTGTATTAGATAGGCAAAGTGTTACATATGACTTTATTTACATATTTTAACAGATGTCACTATAACGGCATTAGTAATTAATGTGGTCAGAGTTTGGTTGCTGTATCTCAACTTTGGAATTGGATGAAGAATATAACAGCATAAGGAAAGCAACCTATTATACATTTTATAAATTGTAACAAGTCATTATTCCAAACATATAATGTAATTTGCGTGTCAAGAGTGATGACAACACGAGCAGGAATTTTCAGGAAAAATGCAAATTAACGGTTTCCTGCTACCCCAGTCTGTCCTTTGTCGTTCCGGCCCCAAGTCGATCCCACCCCTCAATATAGTAACAGTCAATATTGGTTTATGACATATAAGCAATAATTAAATCTGTTTGTCTAATTGATCGTATTTTGTTCTATTTCATCCATGGTAAAAACAAAATAGAAAACAATATCAACCAATCATAATTTAACGACAAGCCCTGGTTCAATTCGGAATTACGACGTGAAATTAGGAAGAGAAACAGGCTACTAAAAAAATTTAAAACTAACCGCACTCCAGGCAATCTGACTAACTTCCGGAAACAACGACGATTTACTTCCGTCCGTAGGAGTGGGGTCTGTCAGCATACATCCGCGCCTGTACTCGTCTCTGTCTGTACCGGAAGGCCCCAGTGGTACTGAGGTGCGTTCGCTCTGCAGTTGCCAAAAATAAATACACACAGTGTTCAAGCCAGTCAGTACCACAATTGATCAGAAAATTCTATAGTAAAATAAATCACCAGTAATCGTTACAGACAGCGATGTTAACCAGTACAATAAGGTAGGCCGCTTTAGTCAGGGATATAATTTGTTAAATGTAAATTTTATTTTTATCCTTGTTATATATTATATAAAGTACAAAACATTATTACGATGTAAAATTACAAAGTAGAAAGCCATTTAAAATTCCTTTGTTCACAGTTAGAGAGAGAGAGAGAGAGAGAGAGAGAGAGAGAGAGAGAGAGAGAGAGAGAGAGAGAGAGAGAGAGAGAGAGAGAGAGAGAGAGAGCCGGTTAATCTGACACGGCAATAGAGATAAGTATATATTCATAAGGACATAGCGCGACTCTCATTTAAAATTCTTAACAGGAAGGAACTGCACACTGTTAATAATATTTTGTTGTTAAAAAAAAGAGGGTGTGTGGAGGGGGAGGGGTATATTAATCCAAAATATTTGGTATTAGACTCTACTTTTCAAACATGAATTGAGACTCTCTTGTAAAAAAAAACCAAAAGTTGTATTATACTTAATAACACTTAATATTACAAGTAAAAGTTCCATTAAAAGATCCTCTTAACTCAACCCATTAGAGTTATTCATTATAATCATAAAATATAATTACGAGGGATGTTCGAAAAGTCAATATCCACGTGAGGCACGATAAAAACCAATACATACGTGTATACTGTTATTCGATATCTACACAACGGTGTATAAATGTACATTTAAGACTAAGTATAAGACATAAAATTTGCAGTAGCAGTCATTGACCACTGTAGTTAAAATAGTTGGTAGAAGCGTAGAAAAGAAAGATGAAATACGGGCTTACATCAAAGCTCGCTCAAAACTTGGTTGTTCTATGAAGCAACTGATGACTGAACTTTCTACTGCTTATGGACCTTCTTGTGTGTCTTATTACACAGTTAGAGGGTGGAAAAATAAATTTGAGTCAGGTGTAGAGTCCATCAAAAATGCACCAAAATCAGGTAGGCCAAAATCTGCATCTCGTAAAGAAATCGTTTCCAAAATAAAGGAAATTATTGGAGATGCCAGATTCACAGTTCGTGATATTGCACGAAAGGTAGGCATATCACTATCAACGGTTCACTTTATTTTGAAGAAGCATTTCAAAGTTAGAAAGATTCCTGCTAGACGGGTGCCACGTTTGTTGACTGATGAGCAAAAGAGGAAACGAGTTAAAGCGGCCAAAAAGCTGCTTCAAATGTTTCCAAAATATGACAAAAAGCAGTTTGCCAATGTCGTAACAGGTGATGAAACTTGGGTCCATTATTTTGAGTCCGTCAGAAAGGTTAGCAATAAGATCTGGGCCACTAAACACAGCAAACGCCCAATAATAGTCAAACGGTCTTTGAGTGTAAAATAGGATTTGTATGCAGTTTTCTTCTCTGTTGTAGGAGTCGCAATAGAAGTGCCTGTGAAAACGGGCAAAAGCATCACCGGAAAGTACTACAAAGACGTAGTACTGACGAAACTGAAAAAGTATTATAAAAAACGACGCCCTGCCACTGGTTTTAAACATATCCGTCTTGTACATGACAATGCCCCCACTCATACCACCGCGATAGTTACGGCGTTTTTGAAGAAAGAAAAAGTAACTGTTTTGCCTCAACCCCCGTATTCCCCAGACCTTGCCCAATGTGATTTCTTTTTGTTTCCGAAATTGAAATCATTTCTTGCTGGGCGGAAATACACGTCCCGACAAGCACTTGGAGCTGTCATTCATCAGTATCTTATTACTGTACCCAAATCAGCGTACAGTGACGCATTCAGGAAGTGGATACATCGGCTGAAACTTGGCATTTCTAGCCACGGGGAGTACTTCGAGGGCATGAAATGAGCACTTTTGGGCTAACTTGACATTTGAAGTCTCCAGATAGAAATAAGCAATGCTTTTAGAACATCCCTCGTATTTTATAGCATTGGTCCTGATGTTGACCATTATAGTGAAAAATGTAAATTAAAGTTCTATATTGACCGGTGCAGGGTGGTAAAATAAAGTTGTATTATATCATTAATATAAGTACTTATAGTGACTTTTTCACCTCTGTACACATGATAGACCTACTTTGAGGTGAAAGGATTAATGTTATAATAACAATAATACTTCCCTGACTGTACCGGTAACATCTGTACTTGTATTAATACTATAATACGACTTTAATTTACTTCCCTGACTGTACCGGTCAACATCAGTACCTGTATTGATGATATTAGTACAGCTGTATTTTACATCCCTGACTATACCTGGTCAATATCACTGTATGTATTTATGCTAGAATAGAACTTTTAATGATGCCTGACTCTACTGGTTAATAGCGAGCGTATGCAGGTTCAATCATTATCAAGAGAGACTTCTGACGCATCTGACCACTTCACATAATGTTAATAATATTGCCATGCATGACTAAAATATTTATTAATGCTACGCTCGTCAAACAGTAGCACTGTTATCATATTATGTATATAGCAGAGTGTATTACATAACGTTATGTCTCTGATAAAGGTTATATTAACATCTTGAAGTCCTAAGTGCTGTTTTAGCTTTATTTTTGAACGACTCTTTTACGGTATATAAGAACAAACAGTATTTATAATTCGAACGCGCCGCAGTACCACTGGGGCCTTCCGGTACAGATAGAGACGAGTACAGGCGCGGATGTACGCTGACAGGCCCTGATGCATGGAAGCGATCATTTGGCGACGGCGAGTACCACAAATTCGTAAGGTATTTTCAACTATTTCCTTTGATTCATAACTGAACTTCTAGTCACACTTTGCTTTCATTTCTTCATGTGGTCATTTACAACAGATAGCTACAAATACAAGCTGACCATAATTGAGCTACCATACATATTTTTCCATACTATCATGTGATAATTACTACTGTACACCGCTTATAAAATGATTTATTGAATAAAAGTCTACAACCATCTATTAAATGACACTGACAGCTCTCCGTTTGGGCGTCCGTGTCCCAAGGAAGACTCCCTGAAGTGATTAAATCGGATCTAAATGTATTGCCAGATGAGATCTGTACATTTTGTAAATCTTTTAGGACTTCCTTCTTGGGACTCATTTATATCAGATGTTTGACAGTATCCCTCATCAAACTTCCTATATAAATGAGTCCCAAGGAGAAATCCCAACAGGGATTATATATATTATTGTTATAACTAGTAGTAAATGTCGCATAAAGCTGTTCATGTCCTGTTGGAAGGGTTTAACTGTTGAACAGAATATATGATGCTGAAATAGCAGTGTCGCCAACCTCTTGCCAAATATAATGTCTGCACATCCTTCCAAAGGTTTGTCAGATGAAAAGACCTTATGATGTATTAAGATAATGGTGTGTATGTTATTCTTAACATTATTTAACTATATTAGATTCAAAGATTTAATTTGAAACTTTTTAAATAGGCTACTAACTGATAAAAAATATTTTCTCAATAGCAGGCTGTAATATGACCAATATATAATATAAACTTTACTTATTTTACAACAATTGCGAAACAAGTTATGTCAACTTATAATAATAACTCTTGTTGGCCCGGATGTAAGCGCGCGAGGGGTCTTATTGTGGGAGGAAACCGGAGTACACGGGGAAAACCCACGTGGTCGGGCAGGTGACCCCTTACCTTTTCACGTCCAGTTCCGGGAATTGAACCCCGGTCGGCTAGGTGAAAGGCGAGTGCGTTAACACTGCGCCACCCGACCACCCAATATCAGGATGCCCTGATAAAATAATGAGTTTTTATCACTGAAAATGTAGATAAAAGTGATATGGAATATAAGTGTCTTTTTTTGAGTTACAAAAATTGATTTTACCTTCGATTTTTGTTTTTCGATAACTATTTAATTCACATGTCTTAATCTGGAATGCAAAATTACCCTTGTTGTTCACGGGGCAGTCAATCCAGCAAACAAACAAACTCTTTAGCATTAAGAAAGGTGCTCAAACAGAATATGAGTTCCACTAATTTTTAGGTCATGTGGCAAAGTCTCAAGTGACCTATTGCAATCACTTTTTGTCCACAGTTGTCCATCTTTTTAACTTCATTAAGTGTTGGCTACCTCATTAAACAACCTATTGGAAGCCCATTACAAGCCGTCAAGAGAAATTAGGGTAAAATATCTGACCAAGAACACATCCACAACACAGTCCACGCAGTTTTTCACTCTTTTAAAAAATTGCACTGTCACAATTTAGCATTGTATGGGAAAGAAAAAAGAAGGAAGGATAAGATTAGGGGGAATGGGTAGTTGTTTCTTAACATATGATTGTGTAACTCCAGTCCAGCCACAATATACTGACTATATAGGACAATAAATAAAAACAGACATATTAAGGACAATGAATAAATGCAAATTAAAACTAGTTTTAATGTTATTTATACAGGCTGATTGTGATTATATACAAGGATTAAATTATTAGCGGAAGGAGGTAATTTGGGGGTGGAGCAAGGTGGTCCAACTGTCGCCCGTGCGCACTAATTCGTTGGCTATTTTTAGATTGCTATAAATATAAATGACGCAGCATTTTCTATTCAGAAGCTGACAGCAGAATATGGCGGAACAAGGTTCGTACGGTCAAGGCCAGTTTATTTAATTTATATTAGTCTATTTATATCATTGTAAACTAAAACATTTTCATTCAATTTTAGCCCACCACCATCCCCTACTTTCCTCCTTTCTTTTCTTGAGCCTTTATATATTGTTCATTTCTTTTAAATTGTTCCAGACTTGGATGTTGTCCAAGTGTTTATGCTATGTACATGACTCGTCATATCCACTGTGTTAAGTTTGTAATTTCATAAAGTCATTACCTAAGCTTGAGTTGTTGATTAGGTTATTTAGAGATGTATATATATATATGTCTCTGGGTTACTGAACATGTACCATTCAATAATTCACAATTAATGTTAAATTGTCTACCCTTTAGTATAACATCCAGGTATGTCATGTTCTTGTTATATGCTGTAAAGTTTTCCTTCATATCTGATAAATTTGTACAATGTTTGTTTTCTTGACTTGTATTAACTGTATTGCCTTATGTTTATGTATGGTGAGGTGGTGGCAGATTATGAGCCCCATCTAAGACTTGTTTATTAAATTTAAATGATAAACTTTGAACCAAATAACAAATGTCGTTTACTAAAATAAATGGTCAGATATCAACACATGTGTTTAGGACAATAAATCAACACATATGTGTTTAAGACAAGATATCAACACACACATGTTTAGTACAAGATATCAACACATACATGTTTAGAACAATACAATCTATATCAACACATACATGTTTAGAACAATACAATCTATATCAACACATACATGTTTAGTACAAGATATCAGCATATACATGTTTAGAACAATACAATCTATATCAACACATACATGTTTAGTACAAGATATCAGCATATACATGTTTAGAACAATACAATCTATATCAACACATACATGTTTAGAACAATACAATCTATATCAACACATACATGTTTAGTTACAAGATATCAGCATATAGAACAATACAATCTATATCAACACATACATGTCAGCATTACATGAACAATACAATCTATATCAACACATACATGTTTAGAACAATACAATCTATATCAATACATACATGTTTAGAACAATACAATCTATATCAACACATACATGTTTAGAACAATACAATCTATATACAAGATATCAGCATATACATGTTTAGAACAATACAATCTATATCAACACATACATGTTTAGAACAATACAATCTATATCAACACATACATGTTTAGAACAATACAATCTATATCATCACATACATGTTTAGAACAATACAATCTATATCAACACATACATGGTTAGGGTATTACATGCTTTCTGTAATTGGTATTTTATCATCCAATGTCATCTTTTTCAATTGTTTAAATAACAGGTTGGGACTCAGCTGTACATGGAGTGTTTGTAGAATTGTTTGTCCAAGTGTAAAGGCTTCAGCCTAACCATGTTCATCACCAGCAGTTTTGTCTTACTGGTAAGAATTCCAACTATGTATCAGAATTTTGGCACCATATTATAGGTAAAGTTAAATCTGTTCAGTTACTATAGAAGTTTTTTTTTATAGCCTCAGAATTAGATCTTAGAGCCTTGCCCTATACTGGGTTGAAACTGTGAGATTCTCTGGTGAGAACAATCAGTTCATGTCTTATCAATGATAAACAAACTTCTTCACTTGGAATTGACTCAGTATATTGTGACAACTGCTGATAATTTATTATTATAAGGTGAGGATTGTGACTTACTGACTCTGTTAAGATAAAACTAGAAGTAACTCAGTATAGTGTGACAACTGCTGATAATTTATTATTATAAGGTGAGGATTGTGACTTACTGACTCTGTTAAGATAAAACTAGAAGTAACTCAGTATAGTGTGACAACTGCTGATAATTTATTATTATAAGGTGAGGATTGTGACTTACTGACTCTGTTAAGTATAAAACTAGAACTCTGTTAACTCAGTATAGTGTGACAACTGCTGATAATTTATTATTATAAGGTGAGGATTGTGACTTACTGACTCTGTTAAGATAAAACTAGAAGTAACTCAATAGTGTGACAACTGCTGATAATTTATTATTATAAGGTGAGGATTGTGACTTACTGACTCTGTTAAGATAAAACTAGAAGTAACTCAGTATAGTGTGACAACTGCTGATAATTTATTATTATAAGGTGAGGATTGTGACTTACTGACTCTGTTAAGATAAAACTAGAATTGACTCAGTATAGTGTGACAACTGCTAATAATTTATTATTATAAGGTGAGGATTGTGACTTACTGACTCTGTTTAGATAAAACTAGAATTAACTCAGTATAGAGTGACAACTGCTGATAATTTATTATTATAAGGTGAGGATTGTGACTTACTGACTCTGTTAAGATAAAACTAGAATTGACTCAGTATAGTGTGACAACTGCTGATAATTTATTATTATAAGGTGAGGATTGTGACTTACTGACTCTGTTAAGATAAAACTAGAAGTAACTCAGTATAGTGTGACAACTGCTGATAATTTATTATTATAAGGTGAGGATTGTGACTTACTGACTCTGTTAAGATAAAACTAGAATTGACTCAGTATAGTGTGACAACTGCTGATAATTCATTATTATAAGGTGAGGATTGTGACTTACTGACTCTGTTAAGATAAAACTAGAATTGACTCAGTATAGTGTGACAACTGCTGATAATTTATTATTATAAGGTGAGGATTGTGACTTACTCTGTTAAGATAAAACTAGAATTGACTCAGTATAGTGTGACAACTGCTGATAATTCATAATTGTTAGGTGAGGATTGTGACTTACTGACTCTGTTAAGATAAAACTAGAAGTAACTCAGTATAGTGTGACAACTGCTGATAATTTATTATTATAAGGTGAGGATTGTGACTTACTGACTCTGTTAAGATAAAACTAGAAGTAACTCAGTATAGTGTGACAACTGCTGATAATTTATTATTATAAGGTGAGGATTGTGACTTACTGACTCTGTTAAGATAAAACTAGAAGTAACTCAGTATAGTGTGACAACTGCTGATAATTTATTATTATAAGGTGAGGATTGTGACTTACTCTGTTAAGATAAAACTAGAATTGATTCAGTATATTGTGACAACTTCTGATAATTCATTATTATAAGGTGAGGATTGTGACTTACTGACTCTGTTAAGATAAAACTAGAATTGACTCAGTATATTGTGACAACTGCTGATAATTTATTATTATAAGGTGAGGATTGTGACTTACTGACTCTGTTAAGATAAAACTAGAAGTAACTCAGTATAGTGTGACAACTGCTGATAATTCATTATGGTTAGGTGAGGATTGTGACTTACTGACTCTGTTAAGATAAAACTAGAATTGACTCAGTATATTGTGACAATTTCTAATAATTTATTATTATAAGGTGAGGATTGTGACTTACTGACTCTGTTAAGATAAAACTAGAATTGACTCAGTATATTGTAACAACTGCTGATAATTTATTATTATAAGGTGAGGATTGTGACTTACTCTGTTAAGATAAAACTGTCAGTATAGTGTGACAATATAATTTATTATTATAAGGTGAGGATTGTGACTTCACTCTGTATAGTTGACTCAGTAACTGACAATCAGTATAGAGTGACAACTGCTGATAATTTATTATTATAAGGTGAGGATTGTGACTTACTGACTCTGTTAAGATAACACTAGAATTTACTCAGTATAGTGTGACAACTGCTGATAATTTATTATTATAAGGTGAGGATTGTGACTTACAGTATAGTGTGACAACTCTGATAATTTATTATTATAAGGTGAGATAAAACTAGAATTAACTCAGTATAGAGTGACAACTGCTGATAATTTATTATTATAAGGTGAGGATTGTGACTTACTGACTCTGTTAAGATAAAACTAGAATTGACTCAGTATAGTGTGACAACTGCTGATAATTTATTATTATAAGGTGAGGATTGTGACTTACTGACTCTGTTAAGATAAAACTAGAATTGACTCAGTATATTGTGACAACTGCTGATAATTTATTATTATAAGGTGAGGATTGTGAACTCTGTTAAGATAAAACTAGAATTGACTCAGTATAGTGTGACAACTGCTGATAATTTATTATTATAAGGTGAGGATTGTGACTTACTGACAGATATATTGACTCAGTATGTGACAACTGCTGATAATTTATTATTATAAGGTGAGGATTGTGACTTACTGACTCTGTTAAGATAAAACTAGAATTGACTCAGTATAGTGTGACAACTGCTGATAATTTATTATAAGGTGAGGAGGTGAGGATTGTGACTTACTGACTCTGTTAAGATAAAACTAGAATTGACTCATAATTTATTATTATAAGGTATAGTGTGACAACTGCTGATAATTTATTATTATAAGGTGAGGATTGTGACTCACTGACTCTGTTAAGATAAAACTAGAATTGACTCAGTATAGTGTGACAACTGCTGATAATTTATTATTATAAGGTGAGGATTGTAACTTACTGACTCTCTTAAGATAAAACTAGAATTGACTCAGTATAGTGTGACAACTGCTGATAATTTATTATTATAAGGTGAGGATTGTGACTTACTGACTCTGTTAAGATAAAACTAGAATTGACTCAGTATAGTGTGACAACTGCTGATAATTTATTATTATAAGGTGAGGATTGTGACTTACTGACTCTGTTAAGATAAAACTAGAATTGACTCAGTATAGTGTGACAACTGCTGATAATTCATTATTATCAGGTGAGGATTGTGACTTACTGACTCTGTTAAGATAAAACTAGAAGTAACTCAGTATAGTGTGACAACTGCTGATAATTTATTATTATAAGGTGAGGATTGTGACTTACTGACTCTGTTAAGATAAAACTAGAATTGACTCAGTATAGTGTGACAATTTCTAATAATTTATTATTATAAGGTGAGGATTGTGACTTACTGACTCTGTTTAGATAAAACTAGAATTAACTCAGTATAGAGTGACAACTGCTGATAATTTATTATTATAAGGTGAGGATTGTGACTTACTGACTCTGTTAAGATAAAACTAGAAGTAACTCAGTATAGTGTGACAACAGCTGATAATTTATTATTATAAGGTGAGGATTGTGACTTACTGACTCTGCTGATAATTTATTATTATAAGGTGAGGATTGTGACTTACTGACTCTGTTAAGATAAAACTAGAAGTAACTCAGTATAGTGTGACAACTGCTGATAATTCATTATTGTTAGGTGAGGATTGTGACTTACTGACTCTGTTAAGATAAAACTAGAAGTAACTCAGTATATTGTGACAACTGCTGATAATTTATTATTATAAGGTGAGGATTGTGACTTACTGACTCTGTTAAGATAAAACTAGAATTGACTCAGTATATTGTAACAACTGCTGATAATTTATTATTATAAGGTGAGGATTGTGACTTACTCTGTTAAGATAAAACTAGAATTGACTCAGTATAGTGTGACAATTTCTAATAATTTATTATTATAAGGTGAGGATTGTGACTTACTGACTCTGTTAAGATAAAACTAGAAGTAACTCAGTATAGTGTGACAACTGCTGATACTGCTCAGCAGTAACCAGGACGTCATCTAATGCCTATCTCAGGGCGATGGAAGACCAGTGCGTAGCTAACAACATTGGCATTATTCCAAAGTATAATCTTGTACCTCATTGCAAGAACATGAACCCTATAAGTAAGTTCAGTGGAAGAGAATCTGTTAACTGTATGTCAGGTTCTTGGGGGAAGTTAATATGTGACATTGTTATCGGGGGAAAGTTAATATGTGACATTGTTATCATGGGGGAAGTTAATAGGTGGCAGTGTTATCCTGGGGGAAGTTAATATGTGACAGTGTTATCGTGGGGATGTTAATATGTGACAGTGTTATCGTGGGGAAGTTAATATGTGGCAGTGTTATCAGGGGAAAGTTAATATGTGACATTGTTATCATGGGGGAAGTTAATATGTGGCAGTGTTATCGTGGGGGAAGTTAACATATGGACGTGTTATCATGGGGGAAGTTAATGTTTGGCAGTGTAATCGTGGGGGAAGTTAATGTGTGGCAGTGTTATCATGGGGGAAGTTAACATATGGACGTGTTATCATTGGGAAAGTTAATGTGTGGTAGTGTTATCGTGGGGGAAGTGAACATATGGACGTGTTATCATTGGGGAAGTTAATGTGTGGCAGTGTAATCGTGGGGGAAGTTAATGTGTGGCAGTGTTATCATGGGGGAGGTTAATGTGTGGTAGTGTTATCGTGGGGGAAGTTAACATATGGACGTGTTATCATGGGGGAAGTTAATGTGTGGTAGTGTTATCATGGGGGAAGTTAATGAAGTTATTTTATAATCATTTGTTCAGAAGCATCATCGGATTAAGGAAACAAATTTCATATAGACTGTGGGTTTGTTGTGCCCCCTGGTACTGGATTTGTGCAACCCAATGGGTGAAACATGACCAGTTCTTAGAATTTGTTTTCAAACTTGATTCAAAGCAAACTTTGATGAGAGGAACTCAGTTTTTCTGCTTGGATGAAGTTTTTTTGTTGGAAACTTTAAATTTCCTCATCTTTTGGGGAAAATGTAACTGTAAAGTTGTGAATATAGACATTCACAAAAGTGAAAACTGAAATATCTAGATGAGTGATACAGGCCCTATAGACTTCTTACTACAAGTTAAAAATTTCATGATGTAATATTTCCTGATTCAATTTTTTTTTCAGCCTGTATCATTCCTAATCCTATAGAAAATGGTTTATGGATTTGTCCATGTAGTGGATTGGGTGAAATTAGCAGTGATGATGTCTTGGTGTACACAAACTGTACCCAACAGTGTAAAGATGGATATGAGCTTGTCGGAGATTCCTTTGGGCATTGTGGTGAACGTCAGCCATATGATAAAAATTCTCCCACAGAATTTCGATATGGAAATGCTCGATGTGTCAAAAGTAAGTACAGTAAAAAATCTCACCTTTTTATATTGATTTTCATACTCTTGGTACTCCATGAACAATTTAGAAAAGCTCATGTTTGTGATATTGTAAGAGAGATAGATGTTCACCCATTACATAGATAAAGCCTTATTATATCCAATTTAGATGAGATCCATCACTTATAAAATGATTTGGATATACTGACTGTATATATTTATTTTCTCATGTCATTCTGTCTTATTTTGAATTGAAGTAATGCATTTATATCTCTGTTTGTCAGAAGAAGCTGAAGATCAGCATACCAGTGGAATACTACTTCTTGTTTCAGTCAGTTGTAAGTTGAAAATGTTTCCATAAAAATTTAAATAAATAATATCCATAAAGAATATGACATATTCACGAGAAATCATTTTACTAAGAAATACTTTTTCTGCTGTATCTTAAATCTGGTCTTGATGTGACATCACATACCCATGTCTCCCTTTGTCTTGTTATTGTTTTTATGCCCCCGCCATTTATGGCCGGGGGCATATAGCGTTGCCCATGTCCGTCCGTCCCGTCGCGTTGCGTCGCGTCCCGTCCTGTCCCGTCCCATCGCGTCGCGTCCCAAATCAGTATATACCACCTAACAACTTCATTCGAAAGGCAATTTTCATGAAACTTCATACAAATATCAAGTATGGAAAGACCTCATGCAGTGTTGAATTTCTGGGCATTCTAAAGAAAGATGGCCATAAGTGGGTGATAACTCAAAAAAGAGGAACATCATCTTATTTCTACATAATTTGGTACTTGTGGGTTTTAAGGCATAAGGAACTAATATACTCCCTCATTTTTTCCAGAGAACAAAATTCCAAATTCATGTACGTTAAATTAACTTGTCAATTTAAGTATGAAACTTAAGTTGTACATAGTTGCATACAAATTAACAAAATCATCTCTTTCGGACCTTTCACTATTATTTCACATGGGGGGGGCGGAGGCATTCATGTCTTACAGACATTTTCTAGTTTTTTAGCCCACCATCTATCTAATAGATGGTGGGTTATTCAAATCGCCCTGTGTCCGTCCGTCCGTAAACAATTCTTGTTACCGCTATTTCTGGAAAAGTACTGGATGGATCTTTCTCAAATTTCATATACAGGTTCCCCTTGGTCCCTAGTTGTGCATTGTACCATTTTTAAACTGATTCGCATTCAAGATGGCCGACAGGTGGCCATCTTGGATTTTGGAAGTAAAAGTTTGTTACCGCTATTTCTGGAAAAGTACTGGATGGATCTTTCTCAAATTTCATATGCAGTTTCCCCTTGGTCCCTAGTTGTGCATTGTACCTTTTTTGGACTGATTCGAATTCAAGATGGCCGACAGGCAGCCATCTTGGATTTTGGAAGTAAAAGTTTGTTACCGCTATTTCTGAGAAAGTACTGGATGGATCTTCCTCAAATTTCATATGTAGTTTCCCCTTGGTCCCTAGTTGTGCATTGTACCTTTTTTGGACTGATTCGAATTCAAGATGGCCGACAGGCAGCCATCTTGTATTTTGGAAGTAAAAGTTTGTTACTGCTATTTCTTGGAAAGTACTGGATGGATCTTTCTCAAATTTCATATGCAGGTTCCCTTTGGTTCCAAGTTAAGCATTATACCTTTTTGGACTGATCCGAAATCAAGATGGCTGACAGGCAGCCATCTTGGATTTTGAGAGTAAAATCTTGTTACTGCTATATCTGAGGAAGTACTGGATGGATCCTTCTGATATTTCATAGATATTGGTTTCCCTTGGTCCCTAATTGTGCATTGTACCTTTTTTGGACTGATTTGAAATCAAGGTGGCCCACAGGCAGCCATCTTGGATGTCGATAGTAATACAGCACAAGCATATTGTCCATTATCCACCTGTAACTGACTGCTATCTAATAATACTTTGGGATCTTTTTCAAATGATATTTGCTAATAGGTGCTTAATAAAAATATCTTGTGCCATCATTGAGTACATTCAATGAAGACCAGTTCATGAACATTTACAACACCTGTAACAAACAAAAAAAAATAAACAAATCTTCAAGAACTGAAAACAGATCCTCAAATGGTGGGCGCCAAGATCCCTCTGGGATCTCTTGTTAATGTAACATATTTAATTTTACAGGTTCTGTGACAGGAATTGTTATTTTATTAGTGGTGTCATGCTGTTGCTACAAATGTTACAGACAGCAGAAAGACAAAACAAGCTGTAAGTGTAGTAATAGGAAATTTTATATATCGCTATTTATAAAATAAATGACAACATACCTGGATTGAACTAGTAAATGGGCTATTACTGATTTCCCGGCATGAAAATATCAAAATACAAATGTGTTCACAATTACAAGTATAATTATGTGTGTTAAGATTTCTCATGGGGGTCCCAATAGCTCAGTTGGTAGAGCATTGATCCACATAACTTCAGGTGAAGGTCCCAGGTACGTGATGTGATGCTCCTTGCCTGTGACTGTTTGTGTTGATCAGGAAGCTGAGAAACCGGTCTATGCTGACATAGTTGTGTCCTTGGGCCAGACATTCTACCCTAATTGTTCAGGATGGCTAGTGACTGGCTTCCTGTATGTCGTTCACTGAGATAGCCACCAAGGTTATTCTGCTGCAAAATTACATTCATTTCATGCAGTGCTCAAAAACCAGCAAGCCAACAAATGGTCCTCATCCTTTCACTCCTAGAAGAAGTAGAAAAAAAATTGTTAAATATGTGTAGATAATACAGAAGTATTTGTCTTTATTTTTAGGTTTTTAAATCTTGGTAGGCCTCATTTCTGACCCTAGTTTTTATTTCCTAGATCAAATCTTAAACCTTATATCTACATCTGACGGACTATGATAGGCTCTGAAAGGCAGGATACATATTGGAAACATGAAATCCAAAATCTTCACTAATATGAAGTTTTTTTTATGTAACCATCTTTGGTGTTGTCGATCAGAATTTCTTTTTTTTTCTTTACATTTATCCCCTTCATAACCTCCAGTTTAACAGGGTTTTCTTGTCTATATTGTCTCTTTTACAACAAATAATTGACGAACTTGAAAAGGTCATGAACTGAAAGGTTATTTGGTTTGTAACAGATCGGCGCAGCACAGCTAACAACAGATTACATAATAGTGATATCCAGTCTGTCACTCCATCAGAAATACCAGGTAGGTCAGACTCCAGCATCATGTTTGTGTATAGATATTATTATAACTTTATAACTAACTGAACTGTATGTACAAGTAGAATAGAAATTCATAATATTCAACTTTTAACTCACTGCTCACTTCTTATCTTTAATATTCCTAATTTTGCACAGTGTATTATATCACATGTTCTAAACTAATTTTTCTTTGTGAATGACATACCAATAAGTATTGATGAGACACCAGGAGGAAATGATAAGACACCAGAAAGTAATAGCAAGATGCTCACAGGTAGTGATGAGACATCAGAAGGTAGAGATGAGACACCAGCAGGTTATGAAGAGACACCAGTAGCAGTATTGTAACACAGTAGGCGTAAACACACACACTTGTTGGTAATAGCCATGTTTATTACATGTTGAATAATGATAATGTTACACGTACAAAAGCAACATCTCATCAACATACAGAGTTCATATACTCATACTAGTGCTTCACGTTGTGTCAGAACTGTCCCTGTATAAAAACAGTACTTCTAAGGTATACACTAAAATACCAACTCCTCATACTGTTCATCATGGTGTAACCTGTCTGTCCATAGGGCTAGTCAGCTCTCTCCCTGTCTGTCTATAGAGCTAGTCAGCTCTCTCCCCGTCTGTCCATAGGGCTCTCTTTTTAGGGCTCTGTCTCTCCATAGGGCTCTGTCCATAGGGTTTTGACACTGAGTCTTCTCCAGTTGAGCTCTGTCCCCGACCCCAAAAACTCTCCTCCTTTCATCCCTATTCTATAAGATCATGACATAGAAATGCCACAATCTAATGCCCCATTGTTTGAGTTTGTTATCAGGGTGTTTATGAGAGTTTATTAGACTGTCATTAAACTGCCTAATACTTGTTAACAAGAAGTAGATGTCATTGCTGTCAACTGTAAATATAGTAACAAAACATCTGTGTGCATTCATAATTACACCCCGTCTACCAGATGTCACATATTTACAAAATTAATCCTACAACCAATCAGTCAAAGATTACTGATTCATGTATCTGATATACACTAATATCGAAATTACATTTTGTAACAATATATCTAAACCCTATTTTGTTACAGTAGGTTATGATGAGACACCAGTAGGTTGTGATGAGACACCAGTAGGTTATGAAGAGATACCAGTAGGTTATGATGAGACCCCAATAGGTTATGATGAGACCCCAATAGGCAACAGTTTGACATAATAAGGTAATGATGAGACACCATTAGGTTATGATGAGACCCCAATAGGCAACAGTTTGACATAATAAGGTAATGATGAGACACCATTAGGTTATGATGAGACTCCAGTAGGTTATGATGAGACACCAGTAGGTTATGAAGAGACTCCCATGGGTAACAATTGGACATAATAAGGTTATGATGAGACACCAGTAGGTTATGATGAGACACAAGTAGGTTATGAAGAGATTCCAATAGGTAACAATTGGACATAATAAGGTTATGATGAGACACCAGTAGGTTATGATGAGACACCAGTAGGTTATGATGAGACACAAGTAGGTTATGAAGAGATTCCAATAGGTAACAATTGGACATAATAAGGTTATGATGAGACACCAGTAGGTTATGATGAGACACCAGTAGGTTATGATGAGACACCAGTAGGTTATGAAGAGACTCCAATAGGTAACAATTGGACATAAAAAGGTTATGATGAGACACCATTAGGTTATGATAAGACACCAGTAGGTTATGATGAGACACCAGTAGGTTATGATAGGACACAAGTAGGTTATGATTAGACACCATTAGGTTATGATGATACTCAGTAGGTTATGATGAGACACCAGTATGTAATGAAGAGACTCCAATAGGTAACAATTGGACATAATAAGGTTATGATGAGACACCATTAGGTTATGAGACTCCAGTAGGTTATGATAAGACACCAGTAGGTTATGATGAGACACCAGTAGGTTATGATGAGACCCCAATAGGTAACAGTTGGACATAATAAGGTTATGATGAGACACCATTAGGTTATGAGACTCCAGTAGGTTATGATGAGACACCAGTAGGTTATGATGAGACACCAGTAGGTTATGAAGAGACTCCAATAGGTTATGAGAAGACTCCAATAGGTAACAATTGGACATAATAAGGTTATGATGAGACACCATTAGGTTATGAGACTCCAGTAGGTTATGATGAGACACCAGTAGGTTATGATGAGACACCAGTAGGTTATGAAGAGACTCCAATAGGTTATGAAGAGACTCCAATAGGTAACAATTGGACGTAATAAGGTTATGATAAGACACCAGTAGGTTATGATGAGACACCAGTAGGTTATGATGAGGCAACAGTAGGTTATGATGAAACACCATTAGGTTATGATGAGACACCAGTAGGTTATGATGAGACTCCAGTGGGTTATGATAAGACACCAGTGGGTTATGATGAGACACCAGTAGGTTATGATGAGACACCAGTAGGTTATGATGAGGCACCAGTGATTATGATGAGACACCAGTGGGTTATGATGAGACACCAGTAGGTTATGATAAGACACCAGTGGGTTATGATGAGACACCAGTGGGTTATGATGAGACACGAGTAGGTTATGATGAGACACCAGTGGGTTATGATGAGACACCAGTAGGTTATGATGAGACACCAGTAGGTTATGATGAGGCACCAGTAGGTTATGATGAGATTCCAGTAGGTTATGATGAGACACCAGTAGGTTATGATGAGACACCAGTAGGTTATGATGAGGCACCAGTAGGTCATGATGAGATTCCAGTAGGTTATGATGAGACACCAGTAGGTTATGATGAGACACCAGTAGATTATGATGAGACTCCAGTAGGTTATGATAAGACACCAGTAGGTTATGATGAGACACCAGTAGGTTATGATGAGACCCCAATAGGTAACAGTTGGACATAATAAGGTTATGATGAGACACCATTAGGTTATGAGACTCCAGTAGGTTATGATAAGACACCAGTAGGTTATGATGAGACACCAGTAGGTTATGATGAGACCCTAATAGGTAACAGTTGGACATAATAAGGTTATGATGAGACACCATTAGGTTATGAGACTCCAGTAGGTTATGATGAGACACCAGTAGGTTATGATGAGACACCAGTAGGTTATGAAGAGACTCCAATAGGTTATGAGAAGACTCCAATAGGTAACAATTGGACATAATAAGGTTATGATGAGACACCATTAGGTTATGAGACTCCAGTAGGTTATGATGAGACTCCAGTAGGTTATGATACGACACCAGTAGGTTATGATGAGACACCAGTAGGTTATGATGAGACACCAGTAGATTATGATGAGACACCAATAGGTTATGATGAGACACCAGTAGGTTATGATGAGGCACCAGTGATTATGATGAGACACCAGTGGGTTATGATGAGGCACCAGTAGGTTATGATGAGATTCCAGTAGGTTATGATGAGACACCAGTAGGTTATGATGAGACACCAGTAGATTATGATGAGACTCCAGTAGGTTATGATACGACACCAGTAGGTTATGATGAGACACCAGTAGGTTATGATGAGACACCAGTAGATTATGATGAGACACCAATAGGTTATGATGAGACACCAGTAGGTTATGAAGAGACTCCAATAGGTAACAATTGGACCTAATGAAGTTATGATGTGACACTTGCAGATTATAATGACACACAAGTTGGTTATGATGAGACACCAGTAGGTTATGAAGAGACTCCAATAGGTTATGAAGAGACTCCAATAGGTAACAATTGGACCTAATGAAGTTATGATGTGACACTTGCAGATTATAATGACACACAAGTAGGTTATGATGAGACACCAGTAGGTTATGATGAGACACCAGTAGGTTATGATGAGACACCATTAGGTTATGATGACACTCCAGTAGGTTATGATGAGACACCAGTGGGTTATGATGAGACACCAGTGGGTTATGAGACTCCAGTAGGTTATTATAAGACACCAGTAGGTTATGGTGACAGACATTTCTAACTAATGTGTTATACCTGGATTTGAAAATGGCTTTGAAGTTTTTTGATATTTTTTTTGTTTTGTTTTAAAGGTACAGTGGTCACTACTACAACAGCCTTGACAGCCCCAGATCCTGATGTGTCTACAGAGGGTGATTATAATGTTATTACACCCCTTACAGCCCCAGATCCTGATGTGTCTACAGAGGGTGATTATAATGTTATTACACCCCTTACAGCCCCAGATCCTGATGTGTCTACAGAGGGTGATTATAATGTTATTACACCCCTTACAGCCCCAGATCCTGATGTGTCCACAGAGGGTGATTATAATGTTATTACACCCCTTACAGTCCCAGATCCTGATGTGTCTACAGAGGGTGATTATAATGTTATTACACCCCTTACAGCCCCAGATCCTGATGTGTCTACAGAGGGTGATTATAATGTTATTACACCCCTTACAGCCCCAGATCCTGATGTGTCTACAGAGGATGATTATAATGTTATTATAGCCTTGTAAGAAGGTGACAGAGGGTGATCCTGATGTATTTACAGAGAGTGATCCTGGTGTATGTACAGAGAGTGATCCTGGTGTATGTACAGAGAGTGATCCTGGTGTATGTACAGAGAGTGATCCTGGTGTATGTACAGAGAGTGATCCTGGTGTAGGTATAGAGAGAGATCCTGGTGTATGTACAGAGAGTGATCCTGGTGTAGGTATAGAGAGAGATCCTGGTGTAGGTATAGAGAGAGATCCTGGTGTATGTACAGAGAGTGATCCTGGTGTATGTACAGAGAGTGATCCTGGTGTAGGTATAGAGAGTGATCCTGGTGTATGTACAGATCCTGGTGTATGTACCGAGGGTGATCCTGGTGTATGTACAGAGAGTGATCCTGGTGTATGTACAGAGGGTGATCCTGGTGTATGTACAGAGGATGATCCTGGTGTATGTACAGAGAGTGATCTTTGTGTAGGTATAGAGAGAGATCCTGGTGTATGTACAGAGGATGAGACTGGTGTATGTACAGAGGGTGATCCTGTTGTATGTACAGAGGGTGATCCTGGTGTATGTACAGAGGGTGATCCTGGTGTATGTACAGAGAGTGATCCTGGTTTATGTACAGAGAGTTATTCTGGTGTATGTACAGAGAGTGATCCTGTTGTATGTACAGAGGAAAATGGCTTTGAAGTTTTTTGATATTTTTTTTGTTTTGTTTTAAAGGTACAGTGGTCACTACTACAACAGCCTTGACAGCCCCAGATCCTGATGTGTCTACAGAGGGTGATTATAATGTTATTACACCCCTTACAGCCCCAGATCCTGATGTGTCTACAGAGGGTGATTATAATGTTATTACACCCTTTACAGCCCCAGATCCTGATGTGTCCACAGAGGGTGATTATAATGTTATTACACCCCTTACAGCCCCAGATCCTGATGTGTCTACAGAGGGTGATTATAATGTTATTACACCCCTTACAGCCCCAGATCCTGATGTGTCTACAGAGGGTGATTATAATGTTATTACACCCCTTACAGCCCCAGATCCTGATGTGTCTACAGAGGGTGATTATAATGTTATTACACCCCTTACAGCCCCAGATCCTGATGTGTCTACAGAGGGTGATTATAATGTTATTACACCCCTTACAGCCCCAGATCCTGATGTGTCTACAGAGGGTGATTATAATGTTATTATAGCCTTGTAAGAAGGTGAAAGAGGATGATCCTGGTGTATGTACAGAGGGTGATCCTGATCTATTTACAGAGAGTGATCCTGGTGTATGTACAGAAAGTGATCCTAGTGTATGTACAGAGGATGATCCTGGTGTATGTACAGAGAGTGATCCTGATGTATGTACAGAGAGTGATCCTGGTGTAGGTATAGAGAGAGATCCTGGTGTATGTACAGAGAGTGATCCTGGTGTATGTACAGAGAGTGATCCTGGTGTATGTACAGAGAGTGATCCTTGTGTAGGTATAGAGAGAGATCCTGGTGTATGTACAGAGGATGAGACTGGTGTATGTACAGAGGGTGATCCTGGTGTATGTACAGAGAGTGATCCTGGTTTATGTACAGAGAGTTATTCTGGTGTATGCACAGAGAGTGATCCTGTTGTATGTACAGAGGGTGATCCTGGTGTATGTACAGAGAGTGATCCTGGTGTATGTACAGAAAGTGATCCTAGTTTATGTACAGAGGATGATCCTGGTGTATGTACAGAGAGTGATCCTGATGTATGTACAGAGAGTGATCCTGGTGTAGGTATAGAGAGAGATCCTGGTGTATGTACAGAGAGTGATCCTGGTGTAGGTATAGAGAGAGATCCTGGTGTATGTACAGAGAGTGATCCTGGTGTATGTACAGAGGGTGATCCTGGTGTATGTACAGAGGATGATCCTGGTGTATGTACAGAGAGTGATCCTGGTGTAGGTATAGAGAGAGATCCTGGTGTATGTACAGAGAGTGATCCTGGTGTATGTACAGAGGATGATCCTGGTGTATGTACAGAGAGTGATCCTGTTGTATGTACAGAGAGTGATCCTGGTGTATGTACAGAGAGTGATCCTGGTGTATGTACAGAGGGTGATCCTGGTGTATGTACAGAGAGTGATCCTGGTGTATGTACAGAGGGTGATCCTGGTGTATGTACAGAGAGTGATCCTGGTGTATGTACAGAGGGTGATCCTGGTGTATGTACAGAGGGTGATCCTGGTGTATGTACAGAGAGTGATCCTGGTTTATGTACAGAGAGTTATTCTGGTGTATGCACAGAGAGTGATCCTGGTGTATGTACAGAGAGTGATCCTGGTGTATGTACAGAGGGTGATCCTGGTGTATGTACAGAGGGTGATCCTGGTGTATGTACCGAGGGTGATCCTGGTGTATGTACAGAGAGTGATCCTGGTGTATGTACAGAGGGTGATCCTGGTGTATGTACCGAGGGTGATCCTGGTGTATGTACAGAGAGTGATCCTGGTGTATGTACCGAGGGTGATCCTGGTGTATGTACAGAGAGTGATCCTGGTGTATGTACAGAGAGTGATCCTGGTGTATGTACAGAGGATGATCCTGGTGTATGTATAGAGGATGATCCTGGTGAATGTATAGAGAGGGATCCTGTCATTCATAAATCATGTTTTAGTATCACAGTATTTTTTGAGTCATTGGAAGTACTTCAAAATTGGAGAGAATTTTAAGGTCATAATCATCTGTTCATTTGTCAGGATGGCCATTGTGTTTTACCCATCGTTCTGTGTAGTGCACCTTAAACTTTTTACTTTTTAAACTCATTCATTTCCGCAAATGGGATTCAGATGAAACTTGCCATATATGATCCTGAGGTGGTGCTAACAGTTGCTTTGGCTACCATCTTGAAAAAGCACATTTAAAATTTCTTCTCATGTTCCACTGATGGCATTGAGCTAAAAATCGGTGGGAATATTAAGGAAAGGAAGCTAAAAAAGTGTTATTTTTTGTCATCATTAAGAGTTTAAAATGGCAGGCATGTTGGTAATTTTGTAACATCAATGCACAATCATGGTTTACTGGAAAAACACCTCTTGATTGACCTGAAACTTGCCCTGAATGGTCCGGAGATTCAACTGTCAAATCAAAGATGGCCACCATGATTGCTATCTAAAAATAGATTTTAAAGCTCTGCTCCAGGGGAGAATTGTTTTAATCCTAGGTCTTCAAGTATTTATATTCAGATGTTCATTAAGGTCTTCATTTTATCTGGTATTGTGTTTTTGGTTTAATGCATTTTTTTTTTTTTGATTATTGTGTAAGAATTTCCACACAACATTTTCAGGTATCCCAGTTGTAACCATCAGTCATGATGCCTACAGTACCAACACAGGAGCAACAGTTACCTTGGGATGTACGGTGACAGCTAAACCAGCCCACACCATTGTATGCTGGCAACGTAATGTTGATTCTGAAACAGTACCTATTACCATTGATGGTGTCATCTATACCATGTCTACGGTTAATTCTCCATCTCTGACCATTCACAATGCTGATACCAGTGACAGCGGAACCTACACCTGTTTTGTCACTAACTCAGTAGGAACTGGACAGAGTGCCCCCACTACACTTACAGTCACAAGAAGTAAGTCATCCTTTGGTTTGAGCTTATTAGGTGATCAAGCGTGATGACTTATTGCCACCATGCTTCTCTGTCATCAACTTCTCTGAGCTGTCCAGACTTTTCTTTCAAAGCACAATTGAACATCTAAGTGGACTTAAACCAAATTTGGTCTAAAACATCAGTAGGAAATAGCAATACATTTTCAAGTGAAAGAATGTGGCCCAATCAATGTGCCTATTAGCTGGGATCTTGAAAAAGAAAAATTCTTTTCTTCCTAAAAGCCTGATTGGCTTTCAACCAAAGTTTGCACGAATCATCACTTGGAAGCTAGGACAATCAAATCTTTATGAGGTTCATGTGCAACCTTTACTGTAAAGCAGGTCATATTTTAGAATGAGAAATTAGCTTCAATTTTGCTTTTGAAATACAACACTCTTAAATTTCTGAGTGAATTTCAACCAAATTTTCTTTTGAACATTGTTTTGGTATACTTGATACTCCTTGAATGAAATATATCGGTAAATGTTTTGAACCTTGAGGCTCTTAAGAAGAATTTAGCCAAGATTTTGATTGAAATATTATTACCTCTGAACACCTGAATAAACATTAACCAAATTTGGTCTTAGTCATCATTTAGGGAGCAGAATTATTTCTTTAAAAAAATGAGATTTTTACAACCTCTATGGACACTGGAGCAAGACTTAAACAGGTTATTTTTACATTTTGCTTTAAATCCTACTTTTAAAGACTGTGACCATGTAAGTTCTAAAACATTACCAGAACAGGATAAACAAACCATACATGGGACCAGATCAGTAGGCCCCAACAGGGATATGTTTCCTTTAACATCCAACCTCTCTAATACTTGTTGGCCATTGCTGGTTGAAATAACAATAGAGCAAGATAAACATATATATTGTATGAATTAAGAACATGGAAGTGGAACCTAAGAGGAAATTTTGGAAAATGCAGTTTGATTTCAGTACTTATTGGTGTTCAATTGAAAATGTTAAACAGAAAAAATGCCTTATTATATGTTATTCATGGGTACATAAGACTTCCTTGTCAGAAGAATATTTAAGTCCATGGGACTCTTGTAGTTATGCTATGGTAGTTTGATTGTATGCAAATAGTGATCCTAGCTGACTCGCATATTTGGATTTTGTCCAAATTTGGCTTGAAGCATGCCCTCCCTCCAATCCTCCTTAGGGGAAGATCAGGGGAAGTAGGGGAATCACCTTAAACCCTTCCTCATCAGATTTTGTCCAATTTGATCTGAATCGTTTTTTGGTGAAGAAAACTCACTCAATCTTATATAAACCATGAGTCTGCCCAACTGATGTCCAACTGTCGGTAAAGGGAACTACAGAAGGGATGTTCTGGTCTGTCGGTACAGGTACTACAGAAGGGATGTTCTTGTCTGTCGGTACAGGTACTACAGAAGGAATGTTCTGGTCTGTCCGTACAGGTACTACAGAAGGGATGTTCTTGTCTGTCCGTACAGGTACTAAACAAGGGATGCTCTGGTCTGTCAGTACAGGTACTACAGAAGGGATGTTCTTGTCTGTCGGTACAGGTACTACAGAAGGAATGTTCTGGTCTGTCCGTACAGGTACTACAGAAGGGATGTTCTTGTCTGTCCGTACAGGTACTAAACAAGGGATGCTCTGGTCTGTCGGTACAGGTACTACAGAGGGGATGTTCTTGTCTGTCCATACAGGTACTATAGAAGGGATGTTCTGGTCTGTCAGTACAGGTACTACAGAAGGGATGTTCTGGTCTGATGGTACAGGTACTACAGAAGGGATGTTCTTGTCTGTTGGTACAGGTGCTACAGAAGGGATGTTCTGGTCTGTAGGTACAGGAACTACAGAAGTGCTATAGAAGGGATGTTCTTGTCTGTCGGTACAGGTACTATAGAAGGGATGTTCTGGTCTTTCGGTACAGGTGCTACAGAAGGGATGTTCTGGTCTGTCGGTACAGGTGCTACAGAAGGGATGTTCTGGTCTGTCGGTACAGGTACTACAGAAGGGATGTTCTTGTCTGTCGGTACAGGTACTATAGAAGGGATGTTCTTGTCTGTCGGTACAGGTACTACAGAAGGGATGTTCTGGTCTGTTGGTACAGGTACTACAGAAGGGATGTTCTGGTCTGTCAGTTCAGGTACTACAGAAAGGATGTTCTGGTCTGTCGGTACAGATACTACAGAGTGATGTTCTGGTCTGTCAGTACAGGTACTACAGAAGGGATGTTCTTGTCTGTCCGTACTGGTACTATAGAAGGGATGTTCTGGTCTGTCAGTACAGGTACTACAGAAGGGAGGTTCTGGTCTGATGGTACAGGTACTACAGAAGGGATGTCCTGGTCTGTTGGTACAGAAACTACAGAAGTACTATAGAAGGGATGTTCTGGTCTGTCGGTACAGGTACTATAGAAGGGATGTTCTGGTCTGTCGGTACAGGTACTACAGAAGGGATGTTCTTGTCTGTCGGTACAGGTACTACAGAAGGGATGTTCTTGTCTGTCGGTACAGGTACTACAGAAGGGATGTTCTGGTCTGTTGGTACAGGTACTACGGAAGGGATGTTCTGGTCTGTCGGTACAGGTACTACAGAAGGGATGTCCTGGTCTGTTGGTACAGGAACTACAGAAGTACTATAGAAGGGATGTTCTTGTCTGTCGGTACAGGTACTACAGAAGGGATGTTCTTGTCTGTCCGTACAGGTACTATAGAAGGGATGTTCTTGTCTGTCGGTACAGGTACTACTGAAGGGAGGTTCTGGTCTGTCGGTACAGGTACTACAGAAGGGATGTTCTTGTCTGTCGGTACAGGTACTACAGAAGGGATGTTCTTGTCTGTCTGTACAGGTACTACAGAAGGGATGTTCTGGTCTGTCGGTACAGGTACTACAGAAGGGATGTTCTGGTCTGTCGGTACAGGTACTACAGAAGGGATGTTCTTGTCTGTCGGTACATGTACTGCAGAAGGGATGTTCTGGTCTGTCAGTACAGGTACTACAGAAGGGATGTTCTTGTCTGTCGGTACAGGTACTACTGAAGGGATGTTCTTGTCTGTCGGTACAGGTACTACAGAAGGGATGTTCTGGTCTGTCGGTACAGGTACTACAGAAGGGATGTTCTGGTCTGTCGGTACAGGTACTACAGAAGGGATGTTCTGGTCTGTCGGTACAGGTACTACAGAAGGGATGTTCTGGTCTGCCGGTACAGGTGCTACAGAAGGGATGTTCTGGTCTGTCGGTACAGGTACTACAGAAGGGATGTTCTTGTCTGTTGGCACAGGTACTAATGAAGGGATGTTCTGGTCTGTCAGTACAGGTACTACAGAAGGGAGGTTCTTGTCTGTCGGTACAGGTACTACAGAAGGGATGTTCTGGTCTGCTGGTACAGGTGCTACAGAAGGGATGTTCTGGTCTGTCGGTACAGGTACTAAAGAAGGGATGTTCTTGTCTGTCGGTACAGGTACTACAGAAGGGATGTTCTGGTCTGTCGGTACAGGTACTACAGAAGGGATGTTCTTGTCTGTCGGTACAGGTACTACAGAAGGGATGTTCTGGTCTGTCGGTACAGGTACTACAGAAGGGATGTTCTTGTCAGTCGGTACATGTACTACAGAAGGGATGTTCTGGTCTGTCGGTACAGGTACTACAGAAGGGATGTTCTGGTCTGTCGGTACAGGTACTACAGAAGGAATGTTCTTGTCTGTCGGTACAGGTACTACAGAAGGGGTGTTCTGGTCTGTCGGTACAGGTACTACAGAAGGGATGTTCTGGTCTGTCGGTACAGGTACTACAGAAGGGATGTTCTTGTCTGTCCGTACAGGTACTACAGAAGGGATGTTCTGGTCTGTCAGTTCAGGTACTACAGAAGGGATGTTCTGGTCTGTCAGTATAGGTACTACAGAAGGGATGTTCTTGTCTGTCCATACAGGTACTACTGGAGGGATGTTCTTGTCTCTCCGTACAGGTACTACAGAAGGGATGTTCTTGTCTGTCCGTACAGGTACTACTGAAGGGATGTTCTGGTCTGTCCGTACAGGTACTACTGAAGGGATGTTCTTGTCTGTCCGTACAGGTACTACAGAAGGGATGTTCTGGTCTGTTGGTACAGGTACTACAGAAGGGATGTTCTTGTCTGTCCGTACAGGTACTACAGAAGGAGTTCATGAAAAGCTTTAAGGGCGAATGTGACAATCAGAAAATTGTCCTTTCTTGACTTTGCTGTAATGAAATGCTTTTGGTGTTTTGACTAGGTGTAAACTGTGATGCCCACCTGGATAATCTACCCCTGAAAGATGATGAGGCTTTACCATTGTCTGCTCTCAATGAGTTGGACAGCAATCAGAAACCCAGATGCTACAGAATGGCAATGGACATTGTTAAGCGTGTTTTCCCAACATTTCATCGAGAGAGAGTTGAACGAGAATTAACACATTTGTGTGACAAGTAAGTTAATCAATCTGTGCATTTAAATTGGTTTGAAAGGCATTGACATTTTCTATATAGACCAACCACAGTGTCTTGACATTTTGTGTTTGAGTTATGTGTTAGCCCAAAAGAGTAGCATCAGCCACAGGATGCATGGTTTCTAGTTATATGACAAGAAACACAAAACTCACCAGTGTGAAAGCTGAGATGACATTGAATTTGACCTCTGACCTTGTGATATCATAAGAGGGACAGTCAGATAGGCATGTTTACACAATATTTTTTACTGGGAATGTGTGTGTGTGAAAATACAATGTATTTCAGGTTATCTTTTAAAACTAAGCATTAATTTCAAGCAAGTGTTTCTCAGATATGTGCCTCACATCAATATATTTGGTAATGTAATTTATTACAAGCATCCATTTATTTTGATGTACATGTAAGTTATGGAAGAAAGATTAGCAGATCGGGATAGGCTAAAGCAATGATTGAGAACTACAATAGACCATAAGCTTGTAATACATAGAATAAGAATATTTTCATCACAATTACATCTAGATATATTAAAGAACTTGATCACACAATGGCAAAAACAATTACAACATCATTCTATCATTAAATGTAGTCCGCTTTTTGTATACAGAGATTATTTTTTAAATCTGCCAATGTTATGTACAACATGCAGGTTTTAACATTTGAAATGTTCACTGTTTGTTTATACAACTTTTGCAGATATACATTCAAATTAAAGTATATTGAAAACAAAATTACATGTATTAAGATTAATGTAATTTAGTGGAAATAAAAGAATTGGGACATAGATTTTGAATGTAAATTTGATCAAAAGACAAATACACACATGTGTTGATTTCTTACAGACTTAATGTTCCAAGGTACAAGCTTATTTGTGTATCAAATTCAAATTAAATTTTGATGGATATCTTCATATACAATGTTAGATAATGGTATGTTATTTGAGACATAATGGTCACCTGAGTCACAATTGTTCTTGTAACATGTCATAGAAATGATTCTGTTAAAAAAGTAATATAACTTAACAATATTGTACAAACAATACAAATGTAAATTGTGTATATCGGTACATTAATTGATGTCCCATGCTTAGGCTTCTAACCAAGTTTCAATTTCATTCATGATTTGAAATTTTCCTATATAAAATCTTCCATCCAGGAACAGTAGAACATCTTTGAAATTTCAGTCAATTTGACCCTTTTTGGCCCCGTCCCTCAGACTCCAGGGGGGTCAGTCAAGATCAATATGTGCATCTTATCAAACAATAAGCTTATACTAATAAAAGATAAGTTCTAACCAAGCTTGAACTGTTTCTGAAAGAAAATAAACAAATTATGCTCAAAAATTTGATTTTGCTATATGAAATATGGTAAATTGTACCCCCTCCCATGGGGGAAATGTGACACCCTGGGGTCATGAAATTTACGATTTTGGTGAAGCATCTGAAGGCCTTTCCATCAATGATGAGTACTTGATTCTACCATTACCTGGAATTTGAGAAGATTTTTGAAATTTCCATCAATTTGACCGATTTTGGCCCTATCCAACAGCCCCTTGGGGTCAGCCAAAGTCAATATGTACATCTCATCAAACCATTATCACAAACTTATAATTCTATCAAATTTTGCACTATTTTCAATAGAAAATAAACAAGTAATATTCAAAAATGTAATTTTCCTCTATAAACTGAAGTATACTTTACCCCCTCCCCAAGGGGAAATGTGAGACCTTGGGGTCTTGAAATTTACAATATTGGTGAAGCATCTGAAGGCCTTTGTTTCCATGAAGAGTACTTGATTATTTGAGAAGAAGTTTTGTAAAGTTTCAATTAATTTGACCCTTTTTGGCATGCCCCTCAGGTCCCTGGGGGTTTAGAAATCCATATTTTACAATTTTGGTGCACCTTAAGCCATGCAAGGATTTTCTTAAATTTCATTCAAATCAGTTAATGAGATTTCCAGAAGAAGTCCAAAATGTTAAAAAGTTCACAATGCACAATGTTGGACAAAAGGGGATCGCAATAGGTCATCCTGAGATTTTTACACCTTGACACTGAGTAGCATTCACTCATTTTATTTTACCTGTAGAACTAATGTACCCATTAAAGTAATGCTTGGATATTACCTTTTGGGGAGACCCATTATATCACTAAACAGAAGTCTATGATACATGAAGAACAGGAGCTGAGAAAACATACAGGTACCTTTTTATGTTTTTTTTAGCAATTTGTTATGTGAGTGTTGAAAAACAAAGAAGTTAAGTAGAAGGGGGGTCAAAATGAGATCATTATGACCAAATATTTGTTATAAAAATTTGTTGTACAAGTGGTTATACTACTGATAATATATAATGATGCAGACAGGAAATCATCTCAAGTTCAGTTTGTACGAAAATTCATACAAACTGAGTTTGTTATGATCAAGTCTTACTCTACATGGAATGAATAAGAGCAAACTCTGTATAAATGTACAGAGTGATGTTAGATGTGTCTCTCTTATGATGTCACATCTGCTTCATGACGAAGTCAACCATGGCTCTCTTCAGTCACAGGAAAATGGTGGTTTCAAACAAAATACAAATTTCAAGTTTGGTTTGGTTTTTGACATCAGAAAATGAGATTTTTTATTTAAGAAACATAAATCTACACTCAGGTTAACCTTTAATTCACATAGATGAAAGTTATTTATTCTAGCAACAGGATGTGAACACACACTGTTACTTTGAATATAAGTTTTAATGAAACATTACAGGTTCAGCTGAGAGAAAATTCTTCAAAATCCTTCTTTTACTCACACAACATCAAGATTTTGTCCCAATTTTGTCAGAAACATACTCGGGTAAATGGGAATCAATTCTGTATCAATGGTGGGCCACTGCTTTCTGGGGTGGAAGCAGTGGGGCTGAATAATGGAAATGTAGGAAAAACTCTTCTATTGTGGGAATGCCTTGATTCTGTCCCAATTTGTGTTTGTTCTGAAAAACACCTTGTTGAAAGAAATCTGACTTTGTATCAACCAGGAGTCTGCCATCAGAAATGTAGGAGCCCAATAGGGGAAATGTAAATTCTTAAAAATCCTGCTTACATACAAGGGTTTTGGTAAATGTTCTGTGTGAAGCATATTTTTATGAAAGGCAAATCTGACTTTTGTTTGACTACTAGGGGAGTACCTGACAGGAAATTTATTTCAGAAATTATTTGTCATATTAAAATTCTTTGTCAATTTAATGATTATCAGAATTAGCAAGATGAGAATACAGGACCCTTGGACCTCTTTTTTATGTTAGATGCCTTAGAATTGTTCATTCAATAAACTAACATTGGTGAAATAGTGCACATGTAGTGTTAATGTCAACAATATTTACTGTACAGATATTTGTATTTCAATTTCTTGTTATTATCATTTCAGGAAGGATCCAGTCATGGAAGTGTTGTTTGAATTCCTGAAGAACTATCCCTGCTACATAGGTGATGTTGTTCACTGGTGTGTACGAAACAAGTTGGAGTCCCTGGTCAAGTACTTAGTCAGTGAGGAACATGAGAAAACGTGTGACTACTGCAGCAATATGAAGCGTAACTCTACTAAAAGAAACTAAAAAGACCAATTTTGTGATATATTTTAATATCACTGGTGTACCCCAGTAATATATTTTTTTGGTACATTTTAATATCACTGGTGTACCCCGGTAATATAATTTGTGATACATTTTAATATTACTGGTGTACCCCGGTAATATAATTTGTGATACATTTTAATATTACTGGTGTACCCCGGTTATATAATTTGTGATATATTTTAATATTACTGGTGTACCCCGGTAATATATATTTTTGTGATATGTTTTGATATCACTGGTGTACCCCAGTAATATATTTTTGTGGTACATTTTAATATATCTGGTGTACCCCGGTAATATATTTTGTGGTACATTTTAATATCACTGGTGTACCCTGGTAATATATTTTGTGGTACATTTTAATATCACTGGTGTACCCTGGTAATATATTTTGTGGTACATTTTAATATCACTGGTTTTATTGTATTTTGTGATACATTTTAAGATTATTGATGATAGTATGTTTAAATTGATTGTTAATTGATGTTAAGAGCACTAATTGTGCAGTGAATTTGAAGATATTTTCTTACTAAGATTTTTCTTTTTCCAGTAAAAGTATATTTATGGAAACAATATTAAACTGACAGAGCTATGATTTGGGTTGTATGGTAGAAGGAAGTACATCTGTTGTGATGATTTCTAAGAAAAACATTTAACCTCAATAAGTTGTAGGAACTTGTATTGTGATATGTAAATTGATGGAAAAAAGAAACTTTTTGACTGGTTCACATATAAAGTGTTATGTAAAATACTAATTGTTATATTTTGTACTAAATCTTTATTTACAATGCATTGTCTCCATTATGACACAGTGACTCAGACAATCAGTCAGTATGGATTAAGTGGCAGTCACAATAATATAACTAACCATTAAAATATACAACATTGATCAGCCATTGGTCATCTCATCATTTTGGACAAAAGTATACACATTTTTAACATAGCCGAGAGATTTTTATTGACAGGTAAATTTTATTTCCGGCTTCATAATTAAATGTTAAGCACATGCAGATTAATGTCTAACTCAGCTGTACATTTCCTATGTAACTGGCAATTGCTAATTTTAGAATTTCTACTAATTCAAACAAGCCAGAGGCAGATATATAAATTTTTTAGGGTAATATTACATGTCCTTCATCCAGTACAAATATTGGTACATTGATTTACTGCAGAATATAGCTGTTTCAACCCATTACACACAAATGGTGGTGTTGTAAGAAGTATTTTAAATATCGAAACCATGCGTGTATACAAAAGTTGTATCTTTGAATTACAAGTTTCTTGTTTAAAGTTTGGAATGGAATGTGATATATATATATGTAAGTGATGATTGTTATACAGGATGTTATGTTTTATAGATTGATAATCCAAATGTCTTTCACTATCTATGCTTTACATAGAACATTTAACTGTTGATATTAGATCTGAATCACTGATATTTAGGTATGTTATTTTCAGAAGGGGGATCTTAACTAGTGTTGTTTCAACTATCTTATGTATTCATTTTATTATAAAGTTGTAAATATGAATTTTTAATGATGATGAAAATCTGTTATCAATTAAGGTTTGATAATCGATTTCAAAATTGTGTCATTTCAAGACTTTGTGAAGTTATCAGCTGTCTTCTAAAGGAAGGTTCATGCATGATTTATCAGGATTTTCAACTGACCTCTAAAACAAGTTTAATTTATGATTTATCAAGGTTATCAGCAGACCTATAAAGCAATGAAATAGCATAATATTCCGACAATTCTATTATCAGCTTATTCTGAACATAGAAAAGTATTTCTTGAAATCCATTCGTTTATTTCTGAACATAAAGTTTGACCAAAAATGAGTGACTGTGATTTCCTAGCCCAAATATCCCAAGGGTTATGATGACTTAGAATGATTGTACTATATTGTAAACCTTTGGATTCGGGAGGATGGTTTCATTGCAATAATCTCTTCTTTTCATCACAATTCATCCTCTATTAAATGTATTTAAAGAAAACTAGATGAGATATCTAAAAAAGAAAAAATCACAATCACATTTACTGGTACATTTATCTGCAATTGTCAATTCTTAGTGTTAAATTAGTGTTTTACTCAATTTCACTGTTTTTCAAATGCACGGATATTAGTGCCATGATGCAATGATAATATCTGGGGTCTAGACAACATTTTGTTTTAGTTTTATTTAAAAGGAGATGAATAGAAATTTGAAATAACATGTTTGTTCAGCTGAACCAGAGCACAGCAATCGTTTTCAGTGCAATATCCCACTCATGTGTTAACTATGATGACTCCACAAAGCCTTCCTTACCATGTACTACCCAGCAGGCCGGTGATGGAGGGGGAGATATTACTGTAGGTGACAGATACTGGTGATGGAGGGGAGATATTACTGTAGGTGATCAACAGTGGTGATGTAGGGGATATTAACCATTAAGGTGATTGATATAGACTTGGTTTCCTGCCTGAGTACAACTTTTCTCCACTTGGCTGTTCTTGTAATTTTGAAGCAAAGTCTATTGGGAAGTAGAAAATCTATAAAACACGCAATCCAATGTAGTGTTCAACAATGGTGATGAGGGGGAAGTAACTCTAGATGATCATGTTTTATTGGTTTTTGAATGTTGATATCAAATGTAACAGTAGGATAATGAAATGAAATTTTAACATATACAATGGTGCAATATATATCACTACTCCCTTGTTATAAATTATAGGTTTTGTCAGTATATTATTAGACAATGATTTGCACCTTTCAATGACACAGAAAGGAGTAGTCTTTATTTTTTATCTTCCAAGGAAGTCTGTCAAAACAGGAATGTTTTACCTTTAATTAAGGCTTAGTAATGAAATTCCTTTGACAGAACCCTTCAGTAGTAATGATATCACACAGGCTTGTATCATTTATGTAATGTACAAGAGAGATTCCCATGGGTTTCCCAGGCTTGACTCTGTGTAAGCATCAACTTCTGTCAGTTTTGATTTCAAGAGGGAATTATTTTAATGTGATTTCACATCTTACGTAGATGTTGTAGAAGCAATGATCCGAGATTGTCAGCATTTTTTAGGCTCACCTTGTTGGCCAGAATCTACAGACTGAAGTTTTGACGATGTTCCGTAAACTTGAATAAGTTGCAAGTACATTTTGTATTAACATTAACAAGATCAAATTTCAACTTGTAGAGTACATGAATTTATTTATTGAACAACGGATAAAAAAATAAAAATGAACAGTTTGGATACACTACCTGTTAACACCTTTTGTAGTACTTGAGGTAGGACAGCCACTGCTGGCTGTATGTGTCACTGATTAAGACATCAAAATCATTCAAACTTTTTTTTCAAACCGTTAAAGAAATAAGAAGAGATAACATTGAAATAATGTCAAGATTAATGATAACCAATTTTGAATCAAATGACTGATATTTTGTTATCAGGACAGATTTACCCAAAACTTATACCTGGTACTTTAGTGTTATCATTGTAGTAAGCTAAATGTCATCTCATTTATTGTCTGTTATAACTACTTATATACCTCCATGATGATCATATTTGTTATTCACATTATAAATTCTGTTATTCACATTTGCTAAGTATTTACAATAAAACATGTTTTGTAACTTTGTTGTTTGTTTTTATATGTTTCCAGTCATCCCCTAAAAAAATTGTTTGCAACGTGTGTGAGAGTTGTGTAACTTTGTACTCAATGATGGCAAGTTGATGGAAATGTCATACAAGTAAGATGGGGAGAGGGTGGGGGGAATGTGTTGAGGTTTAGGTGTGTATGCCTCAGGTTTACCATGAGGTACATTTAAGGTAAAATTCATTGTGTGGGTCATAGATACTTAACGGAAATTGGTCTATGAAATTATCCTACACGTGTAGGGTGAAAAGTCATTGTGTAGCATACCATTTTCAGGTTTATATGCCCCGAGTCACACGGAGATGAAAGACCAAATATCTTATTGGCTTTGTAACTTCTGACCCACAAAATTGTTTGCTAGCTAAGCTGATGCAGGTCACTGGACTATTAAAAAGACCAAAAACAAAGTCATGTTAGTTATGAGTAATGAAATACAGGTTTTTTTTTTAATAACTGGTCAACCAGATGACCTTTACAAAGTTCCCTATTTTAAACAATATATATTCCAGGGATGTGGAAAGGACATAAAAACAGAGAATGGAGTTCTAGGATTCCAAGATCAGCTATGTCTGAATATCACTGTTACTGTTACAATAGAAGACAAAGAAAGTAGTGACAAAGTCACAATCATTTTATTGAGTACTTAATCATCAAGTTTGACTGACAAGGTTGATGTGATGAAAATACGTGAACAATAGCAAAATTCAGTAACACAATACAGTTGTTTTTATAATAACGACAAATAACAAATTCTTGTCCTCTTGTTTCTTGCTTGTTTAATGTCCATACCTGCAAGAAAACAGTCCTTATTAACATAATTCTGAAGCTTATGAGTTCCATTTCTACTGAATACTGGTACAAAGTTACTTTTATGTTTGTCTACTTGTATAAGTACTATTGCCTGTAGGTTAATGAACATTTTAGCTTGTTAAAAATCTTAAAAATCAGTTGTTATTGTGAAAAGCAATAGTAAGTTATAAATTGCAACACATCCATTAAATGATCAGAAGAAATGAGGGCAAGTTTGTGCTGGTAACTTTCATAATGATACAAAACATATTGGAAATCTTGTAACTTACTACATTTCACATTTATATTTTGAAGTTTCTATATCAGTAACTAACAATGGAAAAGAAACTTACTTTTGAAACTCCCATTCCCTATTGTCTAGTGGACACACTTGTCTGGTTTTCAGCCATCGAGAAATGCAGTGGAAATGAAAAGCATGCTGAAACACAAAAGAGAAATCTCTTAAAAAAATCACATAAATAAACAATACAACATCTGTAAACTGATACGGGTACTCGCAAACACCTCAGTCTACAGTGTGTAGGTACTGATGGTATACACACATTACACACACCCCAGTCTACAGTGTAGGTACTGATGATATCCACCCATTACAAACACCCGAGGCTACAGTGTGTAGGTACTGATGATATACACATTACAAACACCTCAGTCTACAGTGTGTAGTTACTGATGATATCCACCCATTACAAACACCCGAGACTACAGTGTGTAGGTACTGATGGTATACACACATTACAAACACCCGAGGCTACAGTGTGTAGGTACTGATGATATACACACATTACAAACACCCTAGTCTACAGTGTAGGTACTGATGATATACACACATTACACACACCCCAGACTACAGTGTAGGTACTGATAATATACACACATTACAAACACCCCAGTCTAAAGTGTGTAGGTACTGATGGTATACACACATTACAAACACCCCAGTCTACAGTGTAGGTACTGATGATATACACACATTACAAACACCCCAGGCTACAGAGTGTAGGTACTGATGATATACACACACACACATTACACACCCCAGACTACAGTGTAGGTACTGATGATATACACACATTACAAACACCCCAGGCTACAGAGTGTAGGTACTGATGATATACACACATTACACACACCCCAGACTACAGTGTAGGTACTGATGATATACACACATTACAAACACCCCAGGCTACAGAGTGTAGGTACTGATGGTATACACACATTACAAACACCCCAGTCTAAAGTGTGTAGGTACTGATGGTATACACACATTACAAACACCCCACTCTACAGTGTGTAGGTACTGATGATATACACACATTACAAACACACCAGGCTACAGAGTGTAGGTACTGATGATACACACACATTACAAACACCCCAGGCTACAGAGTGTAGGTACTGATGTTATACACACATTACAAACACCCCAGTCTAAAGTGTGTAGGTACTGATGATATACACACATTACAAACACACCAGGCTACAGAGTGTTGGTACTGATGATATACACACATTACAAACACCCCAGGCTAAGAGTGTAGGTACTGATGTTATACACACATTACAAACACCCCAGTCTAAAGTGTGTAGGTACTGATGATATTCACCCATTACAAACACCCCAGTCTACAGTGTGTAGGTACTGATGATATACACACATTACAAACACCCCAGTCTACAGTGTGTAGGTACTGATGATATACACACATTACAAACACCCGAGGCTACAGTGTGTAGGTACTGATGGTATACACACATTACAAACACCCCAGTCTACAGTGTGTAGGTACTGATGATATGCACACATTACAAATACCCCAGTCTACAGTGTAGGTACTGATGATATACACACATTACAAACACCCCAGTCTACAGTGTGTAGGTACTGATGATATACACACATTACAAACACCCCAGACTACAGTGTAGGTACTGATGGTATACACACATTACAAACACCCAAGACTACAGTGTGTAGGTATTTGTGGTATACTTACATTACAAACACACCAGACTACAGTGTAGGTACTGATGGTATACACACATTACAAACACACCAGTCTACAGTGTGTAGATACTGATGGTATACACACATTAAAAACACCCCAGTCTACAGTGTGTAGGTACTGATGTTATACACACATTACAAACACCCCAGTCTACAGTGTGTAGGTACTGATGATATACACACATTACAAACACCCCAGGCTACAGAGTGTAGGTACTGATGATATACACACATTACACACACCCCAGACTACAGAGTGTAGGTACTGATGATATACACACATTACAAACACCCCAGTCTAAAGTGTGTAGGTACTGATGGTATACACACATTACAAACACCCCAGACTACAGAGTGTAGGTACTCATGGTATACACACATTACAAACACCCCAGTCTAAAGTGTGTAGGTACTGATGGTATACACACATTACAAACACCCCAGTCTACAGTGTGTAGGTACTGATGATATACACACATTACAAACACACCAGGCTACAGAGTGTTGGTACTGATGATATACACACATTACAAACACCCCAGGCTACAGAGTGTAGGTACTGATGTTATTCACACATTACAAACACCCCAGTCTAAAGTGTGTAGGTACTGATGATATACACACATTACAAACACCCCAGTCTACAGTGTGTAGGTACTGATGATATACACACATTACAAACACCCCAGTCTACAGTGTGTAGGTACTGATGGTATACACACATTACAAACAACCCAGTCTACAGTGTGTAGGTACTGATGATATACACACATTACAAACACCCCAGACTACAGTGTAGGTACTGATGGTATACACACATTACAAACACCCAAGACTACAGTGTGTAGGTATTTGTGGTATACTTACATTACAAACACACCAGACTACAGTGTAGGTACTGATGGTATACACACATTACAAACACACCAGTCTACAGTGTGTAGATACAGTCTACAGTGTGTAGGTACTGATGATATACACACATTACAAACACCCCAGTCTACAGTGTGTAGGTACTGATGATATACACACATTACAAACACCCGAGGCTACAGTGTGTAGGTACTGATGGTATACACACATTACAAACACCCCAGACTACAGTGTAGGTACTGATGGTATACACACATTACAAACACCCAAGACTACAGTGTGTAGGTATTTGTGGTATACTTACATTACAAACACACCAGACTACAGTGTAGGTACTGATGGTATACACACATTACAAACACACCAGTCTACAGTGTGTAGATACTGATGGTATACACACATTAAAAACACCCCAGTCTACAGTGTGTAGGTACTGATGATATACACACATTACAAACACCCCAGGCTACAGAGTGTAGGTACTGATGTTATACACACATTACAAACACCCCAGTCTAAAGTGTGTAGGTACTGATGATATACACACATTACAAACACCCCAGTCTACAGTGTGTAGGTACTGATGATATACACACATTACAAACACCCCAGTCTACAGTGTGTAGGTACTGATGGTATACACACATTACAAACAACCCAGTCTACAGTGTGTAGGTACTGATGATATACACACATTACAAACACCCCAGACTACAGTGTAGGTACTGATGGTATACACACATTACAAACACCCAAGACTACAGTGTGTAGGTACTACAGTGTTACATTACAAACACACCAGACTACAGTGTGTAGTACTGTAGTGTGTAGGTACTGATGATATACACACATTACAAACACCCGAGGCTACAGTGTGTACTGATGGTATACACACATTACAAACACCCGAGGCTACAGTGTGTAGGTACTGATGATATACACACATTACAAACACCCCAGTCTACAGTGTGTAGGTACTGATGATATACACACATTACAAACACCCCAGACTACAGTGTAGGTACTGATGGTATACACACATTACAAACACCCAAGACTACAGTGTGTAGGTATTTGTGGTATACTTACATTACAAACACACAGTGTGTAGGTACTGATGGATACACACATACACACATTACACACACACCCCAGTCTACAGTGTGTAGGTACTGATGTATACACACATTACAAACACTACAGTGTGTAGGTACTGATGATATACACATTACAAACACCTCAGTCTACAGTGTGTAGTTACTGATGATATACACACATTACACACACCCCAGACTACAGTGTAGGTACTGATGATATACACACATTACAAACACCCCAGTCTAAAGTGTGTAGGTATGATGGTATACACACATTACAAACACAGACTACAGAGTGTAGGTACCATGGTATACACACTACAGTGTGTAGGTACTGATGGTATACACACATTACAAACACCCCAGTCTACAGTGTGTAGGTACTGATGATATACACACATTACAAACACACCAGGCTACAGAGTGTTGGTACTGATGATATACACACATTAAAAACACCCCAGTATAAAGAGTGTAGTTACTGATGTTATTCACACATTACAAACACCCCAGTCTAAAGTGTGTATACACACATGATATACACACATTACAAACACCCCCAGTCTACAGTGTGTAGGTACTGATGGTATACACACATTACAAACAACCCAGTCTACACACATGGTATACACACATTACAAACACCCAAGTACAGTGTGTAGGTATTTGTGGTATACTTACATTACAAACACACAGTGTGTAGGTACTGATGGTATACACACATACAAACACACACACAGTGTGTTACTGATGGTATACACACATTAAAAACACCCCAGTCTACAGTGTGTAGGTACTGATGATATACACACATTACAAACACCCCAGTCTACTACATGTGTACAGTGTGTACTGATGGTATACACACATTACAAACACCCCAGACTACAGTGTGTAGGTACTGATGGTATACACACATTACAAACACAAGACTACAGTGTGTAGGTATTTGTGGTATACTTACATTACAAACAACCAGACTACAGTGTAGGTACTGATGGTATACACACATTACAAACACACCACACAGTGTGTAGATACTGATGGTATACACACATTAAAAACACCTCAGTCTACAGTGTGTAGGTACTGATGATATACACACATTACAAACACCCCAGTCTACAGTGTGTAGGTACTGATGATATACACACATTTCAAACACCTCAGTCTACAGTGTGTAGGTACTGATGATATACACACATTACAAACACCCCAGTCTACAGTGTGTAGGTACTGATGGTATACACACATTACAAACAACCCAGTCTACAGTGTGTAGGTACTGATGATATACACACATTACAAACACCCCAGACTACAGTGTAGGTACTGATGGTATACACACATTACAAACACCCAAGACTACAGTGTGTAGGTATTTGTGGTATACTTACATTACAAACACACCAGACTACAGTGTAGGTACTGATGGTATACACACATTACAAACACACCAGTCTACAGTGTGTAGATACTGATGGTATACACACATTAAAAACACCCCAGTCTACAGTGTGTAGGTACTGATGATATACACACATTACAAACACCCCAGTCTACAGTGTGTAGGTACTGATGATATACACACATTACAAACACCCGAGGCTACAGTGTGTAGGTACTGATGGTATACACACATTACAAACACCCCAGACTACAGTGTAGGTACTGATGGTATACACACATTACAAACACCCAAGACTACAGTGTGTAGGTATTTGTGGTATACTTACATTACAAACACACCAGACTACAGTGTAGGTACTGATGGTATACACACATTACAAACACACCAGTCTACAGTGTGTAGATACTGATGGTATACACACATTAAAAACACCCCAGTCTACAGTGTGTAGGTACTGATGATATACACACATTACAAACACCCCAGGCTACAGAGTGTAGGTACTGATGATATACACACATTACACACACCCCAGACTACAGTGTAGGTACTGATGATATACACACATTACAAACACCCCAGGCTACAGAGTGTAAGTACTGATGATATACACACATTACACACACCCCAGTCTAAAGTGTGTAGGTACTGATGATATCCACCCATTACAAACACCCCAGTCTACAGTGTGTAGGTACTGATGATATACACACATTACAAACACCCCAGTCTAAAGTGTGTAGGTACTGATGATATACACACATTACAAACACCCCAGTCTAAAGTGTGTAGGTACTGATGGTATACACACATTACAAACACCCCAGACTACAGAGTGTAGGTACTCATGGTATACACACATTACAAACACCCCAGTCTAAAGTGTGTAGGTACTGATGGTATACACACATTGCAAACACCCCAGTCTACAGTGTGTAGGTACTGATGATATACACACATTACAAACACACCAGGCTACAGAGTGTTGGTACTGATGATATACACACCTTACAAACACCCCAGGCTACAGAGTGTAGGTACTGATGTTATACACACATTACAAACACCCCAGTCTAAAGTTTGTAGGTACTGATGATATACACACATTACAAACACCCCAGTCTACAGTGTGTAGGTACTGATGATATACACACATTACAAACACCCCAGTCAACAGTGTGTAGGTACTGATGATATACACACATTACAAACACCCGAGGCTACAGTGTGTAGGTACTGATGGTATACACACATTACAAACACCCCAGTCTACAGTGTGTAGGTACTGATGATATCCACCCATTACAAACACCCCAGTCTACAGTGTGTAGGTACTGATGATATACACACATTACAAACACCCGAGGCTACAGTGTGTAGGTACTGATGGTATACACACATTACAAACACCCCAGTCTACAGTGTGTAGGTACTGATGATATACACACATTACAAATACCCCAGTCTACAGTGTAGGTACTGATGATATACACACATTACAAACACCCCAGACTACAGTGTAGGTACTGATGGTATACACACATTACAAACACCCAAGACTACAGTGTGTAGGTATTTGTGGTATACTTACATTACACACACCCCAGACTACAGTGTAGGTACTGATGATATACACACATTACAAACACCCCAGGCTACAGAGTGTAAGTACTGATGATATACACACATTACACACACCCCAGTCTAAAGTGTGTAGGTACTGATGATATCCACCCATTACAAACACCCCAGTCTACAGTGTGTAGGTACTGATGATATACACACATTAAAAACACCCCAGTCTAAAGTGTGTAGGTACTGATGATATACACACATTACAAACACCCCAGTCTAAAGTGTGTAGGTACTGATGGTATACACACATTACAAACACCCCAGACTACAGAGTGTAGGTACTCATGGTATACACACATTACAAACACCCCAGTCTAAAGTGTGTAGGTACTGATGGTATACACACATTGCAAACACCCCAGTCTACAGTGTGTAGGTACTGATGATATACACACATTACAAACACACCAGGCTACAGAGTGTTGGTACTGATGATATACACACCTTACAAACACACCAGGCTACAGAGTGTAGGTACTGATGTTATACACACATTACAAACACCCCAGTCTAAAGTGTGTAGGTACTGATGATATACACACATTACAAACACCCCAGTCTACAGTGTGTAGGTACTGATGATATACACACATTACAAACACCCCAGTCAACAGTGTGTAGGTACTGATGATATACACACATTACAAACACCCGAGGCTACAGTGTGTAGGTACTGATGGTATACACACATTACAAACACCCCAGTCTACAGTGTGTAGGTACTGATGATATCCACCCATTACAAACACCCCAGTCTACAGTGTGTAGGTACTGATGATATACACACATTACAAACACCCGAGGCTACAGTGTGTAGGTACTGATGGTATACACACATTACAAACACCCCAGTCTACAGTGTGTAGGTACTGATGATATACACACATTACAAATACCCCAGTCTACAGTGTAGGTACTGATGATATACACACATTACAAACACCCCAGACTACAGTGTAGGTACTGATGGTATACACACATTACAAACACCCAAGACTACAGTGTGTAGGTATTTGTGGTATACTTACATTACAAACACACCAGACTACAGTGTAGGTACTGATGGTATACACACATTACAAACACACCAGTCTACAGTGTGTAGGTACTGATGATATACACACATTACAAATACCCCAGTCTAAAGTGTGTAGGTACTGATGATATACACACATTACAAACACCCCAGTCTACAGTGTGTAGGTACTGATGATATACACACATTACAAACACCCCAGACTACAGTGTAGGTACTGATGGTATACACACATTACAAACACCCAAGACTACAGTGTGTAGGTATTTGTGGTATACTTACATTACAAACACACCAGACTACAGTGTAGGTACTGATGGTATACACACATTACAAACACACCAGTCTACAGTGTGTAGATACTGATGGTATACACACATTACAAACACCCCAGTCTACAGTGTGTAGGTACTGATGTTATACACACATTACAAACACCCCAGGCTACAGAGTGTAGGTACTGATGATATACACACATTACAAACACCCCAGGCTACAGAGTGTAGGTACTGATGATATACACACATTACAAACACCCCAGACTACAGTGTAGGTACTGATGGTATACACACATTACAAACACCCCAGACTACAGTGTGTAGGTACTGATGATATACACACATTACAAACACCTCAGACTACAGTGTAGGTACTGATGGTATACACACATTACAAACACCCCAGACTACAGTGTGTAGGTACTGATGATATACACACATTACAAACACCTCAGTCTACAGTGTGTAGGTACTGATGGTATACACACATTACAAACACCCCAGTCTACAGTGTAGGTACTGATGATATACACACATTACAAACACCCCAGACTACAGTGTAGGTACTGATGATATACACACATTACAAACACCCCAGTCTACAGTGTGTAGGTACTGATGGTATACACACATTACAAACACCCCAGACTACAGTGTGTAGGTACTGATGATATACACACATTACAAACACCTCAGACTACAGTGTAGGTACTGATGGTATACACACATTACAAACACCCCAGACTACAGTGTAGGTACTGATGATATACACACATTACAAACACCCCAGACTACAGTGTAGGTACTGATGATATACACACATTACAAACACCCCAGTCTACAGTGTGTAGGTACTGATGGTATACACACATTACAAACACCCCAGACTACAGTGTAGGTACTGATGGTATACACACATTACAAACACCCCAGTCTACAGTGTGTAGGTACTGATGATATACACACATTACAAATACCCTAGTCTACAGTGTGTAGGTATTTGTGGTATACTTACATTACAAACACCCCAGTCTACAGTGTGTAGGTACTGATGATATACTCACATTACAAACACCCCAGTCTACAGTGTGTAGGTACTGATGATATACACACATTACAAACACCCTAGTCTACAGTGTGTAGGCACTGATGATATACACACATTACAAACACACCAGTCTACTGTGTGTAGGTATTTGTGGTATACTTACATTACAAACACCCCAGGCTACAGTGCATTCTTCACTTGTGGCAGAGGCCTGATTTGCCTGACATTCTATACACAGGTCCATTATGTGATTTCGGCAAATAGCACAGTTGTCAACGACAATATCTGAAAATAAAAGTTTCAATAAATACATATGTTTTTTCATCACAATAAAGGCATTTTGTAGAGTTCTTTTATATATTTCTTTGTTGCTGTTGTTTTTTTTAACAAATCAATAAAATTCATCTAATTCAAAGAATACTTTATATGCAACTAGACCCACAATGAAGATGGGGACAGGAGAGAAGAATTAGGTTTACATACTAAACTGTATCCAGAGATATTTGGGAGCACATTACAGCATAATTAGAAAATCATTGTCATGCCAAACAATTCTATTAACTGATGATTTTTCACCAACTTTAATAATTTTAGCTGAATGAAATATTAATTTATCTTATAAGATACCATAAGAAACACTTATAAATTATATTAATTTGCTGTGTCACATTTTATTACTTACCCCATGCCCACAATGCCACAGCACTCCACTGGAAAGAAAAAAAGTTTTAGGCATTAAAAAAAACAGAACCAAATATCTGTGAAATATTTATATTGTTACAGCAATTCAAAGCAAGCTATCAGCTTATACTAATCACTGTTGCTGGCCTGGATGGAAGCAGACTGACATGGGGTCTCGCAGTGGAAGGAAACAGGAGTACTTGGGAAAATCCATGTTGTCGGCCAAGTAACCCCATACCTTTTCTTGTCTGCTCTGGGAATCCACCCTGGGATGTCTAGGTGAAATGCTAGTTTGTTGCCAATGCATAATCCAAAAAGAGACACTTTGATTGAGAAAATTGCCCTTTTTAGATTTTATATCGGTCTATTTACAAGGTTTTTTACACAGTCCTTTACATAATTGTGTGGTAGATAGAAAAATCAGAGAAGTAGACAGGCATACTTCCGTAATCATTTACTTCAACATCATTTTTCTGTCCCTGATTTTTTTCAATGATTATCAGACAGAAATTAAAATTCTAATTTCTGAAATATGATGAATATCATTTCTCACACAATAAAAGAAGTAACATTAAACAAAGCAATCATATTTCAAATCAAGATAAAGACCTGATTAGTAATCAAATTTAAATCCTAAACCCACTACTGGTTAGTAGTAAATTGCTATATATCCACTCATGAACTTCTATGTCCGGACTCCAAACTGAGAAATGGGACTCCTCTTACCTATACGAGTGTCCTACACCCCACTAATACAAGTAAGATAGATATATCTGTGACTTAATAAGTACACTCTCATAGCCTATGAACAATTCATCAAATGACAAAGATATCTACATGTATACATAGGTATCAAGATCTCTAGAAAGAGAGGGAAAGTAAGAATTGTTTTGGAATATGTAACTTAGCTTTATCAATAATAAATGATTTTAAAATTTCAAGTTTGAAACATCTAATTTTCTAACTTCCTTGTCATAATTTCAGCATACAGACTAAGGAGTAGTTAACTGAAATTATTACTTTGGGTGTTGTCAGGATAATGTGCCCTCTGCGTAGGCCCGCATTTGTGGGTATCATGCCTTTAAGAAGCATAGAAAAGCACATGTTCAGGCTATTCACAATACGGTAGCTATGTAGTGATATATAGACAACCGGACAGAGATATATACACTGTCAGGCTATTCACTATACAGCAGCTATGTAGTGATATATAGACAACCGGACAGAGATATATACACTGTCAGGCTATTCACTATACAGTAGCTATGTAGTGATATATAGACAACCGGACAGAGATATATAGACCGTCAGGCTATTCACTATACAGCAGCTATGTAGTGATATATAGACGACCGGACAGAGATATATAGACTGTCAGGCTATTCACTATACAGCAGCTATGTAGTGATATATAGACGACCGGACAGAGATATATAGACTGTCAGGCTATTCACTATACAGCAGCTATGTAGTGATATATAGACAACTGGACAGAGATATATAGACCGTCAAGCTATTTACTATACAGTAGCTAGGTAGTGATTTATAGACAATCAGGCAGATATATATATAGGCCGTCAGGCCATTCAATATACAGTTGCTAGGTAGTGATATATAGACAACCGGACAGAGATATATAGAATGTCAGGCTATTCACTATACGGTAGCTATGTAGTGATATATAGACAACCGGACAGAGATATATAGACCGTCAGGCTATTCACTATACAGTAGCTATGTAGTGATATATAGACAACCGGACAGAGATATATAGACCATCAGGCTATTCACTATACAGTAGCTATGTAGTGATATATAGACAATCAGGCAGATATATATAGACTGTCAGGCCATTCAATATACAGTAGCTAGGTAGTGATATATAGACAACCGGACAGAGATATATAGAATGTCAGGCTATTCACTATACGGTAGCTATGTAGTGATATATAGACAACCGGACAGAGATATATAGACCGTCAGGCTATTCACTATACAGTAGCTATGTAGTGATATATAGACAATCGGGCAGATATATATAGGCCATCAGGCCATTCAATATACAGCAGCTAGATAGTGATATATAGACTGTCAGGCTATTCACTATACAGTAGCTAGGTAGTGACATATAGACTGCTGGGTAGAGATATTTAGACTGTCATGTTATTCATTATACAGCAGTCTGAAAGTCATATACAGGTTGTGAGGCTATTCAGTTTAAAACAGCTTGGTAGAGATATATATACTATCAGACTATTCACATTACAGAAGCTGAGTAGTGATTCATAGACTGTCAGGCTATTCACTTCACAGCAGCTGGATAATAATAAATAAACCATTGGGCTATAATTTCACAGCAACTAGATTATGATGAACAATCAGATAATTCATGTGGCAGCCAGGTAGTAATATATAATTAGCCAGGCTATTCATTTTCAAGTAACGATACAGTATACAGACTGTCAAGTTATTCTCTTCATAGCTGCTGGTAATGATAAAGACCATTGGGCTATTCATGATTACTCAACAGATACTGCTACAGATCTAGAGCTCAATAGAAAGTATGCTAATGTAGACAAAAGCACTAGCTATGATCAATGGATTCTGAAGACTGAGAAATTCAGCAAGGACCATCAGAAAAAGCAATCCCTTTTGTATAGGATAGAATATTGTTGTCTTTGATACAGAGATGATGTCTCACTCTAGATCTGTCTACGTAAACAGAGTATAAATATTACCATTTTTTCCAATGATACGTTAAAATGCTGGATAACACACATCCATCAAAATTTCATTTTCAAGTAGAAATGTAGAGCTAGCCCCTACCCCTAACATATTAATAAATTAATACAAATGTAATAGAGTAAGTAAAAAAAGTGTCCATAACTAAACATGTCGGGTCACAGAGACCTATGAAGAGTAGGTGAACTGATCATGAGCCATAAGACTATTTTTAGGTTCTTATTTTTAGATTTTGAAACAATGCCTTCACCGGTTTTTAAAACGACAATCACGGATTATAACCTTGAAAATTTGGTCTCTTATCCGTCATACCTTCTTAACTTCAAATCGCTTTTTTCCTGACTTATCCACTCCATTTCCTGATCCTTCCCCGATCTCTGAATCATCAACATCCATAGCCGCTGCCATTTTTCTTAGATGAAAATATTACAAGTTCCTGTTGAAACCGATCAATGTTTGGAAGTAAGGTTAAATCTGCAATGAAACGTTCTTCCGAAAATCAACAAAGCTTTATCATATGAAAATTCTAAATGTCTTCCGAATAAGACTTTAGCACCAACTAAATAATTATATTCGAAACGAAGTAAATATAAATATTCCTATTTCGAAGAAGACAAATAAGTTATAAGTTATTCAAAATACAGTAATTAAGTAAACCTAAATAAATTTCAATTATACATTATCTAAAAACCTCATTAGATACACAACTGAAAAATTTATAAATATATTTTTACATATATTTTAGAATCTGATAATTCGATCGGCCTGTAGAAACATGTCGTTCCACGGTGGTAGTGGCAGTGTAGGGTCTGTGCTTCAAAAGAAAGCCCAAGACCATGCATCTGGTGATGGAAAATGTTGCCAAGGGAAAGAACCAGAAAGTAAAGATCATCCTATATTCAATGCAGTCAAGTCTGGGTGAGAATCAGCTTTTAGAATCACTATAAATCAAGATGTGATGAAAGTGTTCGTCTTGGTGGTCACGCCTGTACCGGCACGTTTGGTATTTGTTTACAGTAATTAGCTGTACAGTTAAGATACATCGGATTGAATTCAGGATAATATTTTCGTTTACTATCATATTACATTATTACAATGTGTAAACAGCACATCCGTATGTCGCACAAACACGTGTGGTTCAAAGGTCAACCAAAATGTTTGTTATGACTGTTGCTATAGTGGAGTTGTAAATGGGGCTAAATGTAATTTGTGGACATTTTGGCACTCAATATGTATTGTACTGGGTATCTTATATAATGTTTCAGTATATATGATAATACTGATGTGGAATGGGAAACATTGTAACGTTGCCCATATGGGCAAGAATTGAAGTACTGCATCAATTTTTGGTACTTTCCCATGTGCAAATGAATTTTATTGTTGCAGTTGAAAGATTTTTTATGACTTAATAGATGTCACTTGGGCAAAAATTTGAAAAGACTATGTTAAAAGTTACTTTGGCTATTTCAGGAAACAATTCCACATCCCAATTGACATGTTATAGGCTAGCTTGCATATTATACACACATTCAACTGCCTATTCATCTGATTTCCTGTTTGAAGCATGGCATATACTGAAACATGGAATGACATATGATACAGAGCAAAATCATACAAAAATAAGGAACAGAAATTATGAGACTATAACATTATTAATCAAGTGAATATATACAGCAATCATCAATAGCATATTGCATTCAATGTGGCATTAAATTGATAATAAATATTGACATATTGATGGGTGTGTCTAATTTGAGATAGGTGTTGATGAACTTCAGATAAAATGGAATACAAACACTTGTTATTGTATAAAAGAATAGGAATGATGTGGAGGATACCTTTTGAAGATACACCTTAGATGTAAAAATGAGACTTAAATTATATTTAAGATGGAACTAAAAATATATACTGTAAAACACTGGATGGCTTCAAGTTGTGATATTATTAAGAAGGGAAACTTCTCTTACTATAGTGAAAAAAACAATTTTGTAGAGTTATAAACATATTAATTATCTTATACCAATACCAAAGCATTTCTCATTTTTTTAACTACAAGAATGGAAATGTTTTCATAGATTCTCAGTAAAATGAATTTGAAATAGAAATATTTATATAATATATAGGGAATATCACAAAGTTTTTCTTGCAATTTCCTAACATAATCACATTGTGAGGCTGTCAATATGATATGCCCATTGTGTTGGATTATGTTGGTTGCTAATGTGATGGAAAACAGTAAAACACTTTCCAGCAGAGCAACTTCGAACTTAAAGCCAAAAAAGCATTCCCTGTCAGGTAACTGACAGAAGTCTTATTTAATTCACAACTGACCGATTCCTTTCACAAAGGAGCAGTATTAAGGCCACAAATTGTAGGACACTGGTTTATGAGTTTCATAAGTTGTATACTGTGTAAGATTGTTTCATTATTTAAATATGTTGAAGTACATTGTGATATGACCAAAAGTAGACTAACTAAAGGGTGATATATATTTGTGTTCAGAATGTTGGTACCAGTGCAAACAATCCATGAAGATGTGCCCGACGTTTTCCGTATACGTGATGACAAAGGCCACACACCTGCCCACTGGGCGTGTCTGGGTGGCCATTCCACAGTGCTTCGTTACATGATTGAGAGCAAGGCAAATGTCAACGATCCAAGTGACAATGACCTGGGTGCTAGGCCTATACATTGGGCATGTGTGAACGGACATATTGCTATAGTGGACATCCTGTTACAGTCTGGGGTATCATATGATGTAGCTGATAACAAGGGCTGCACACCCCTCATAGTAGCTGCTCAGTATGGTCACACAATGATGGCTGGCTACCTGATGGGTAAAGGTGCTCGTCTGCAGATCTGTGACAAAGACGGTGACAATGCACTTCATTGGGCGGCTTTTAAGGGTAAGGTTGTTCAAGAGTAAATTTGGTTTTGAAAGGCTTTAGAATCACTTAGAAGAGTGATAATTGCAATAATTTGATTAGCATTAGATTGGTATTTTCCTTCCCACAGAACAGTTGTTTTTGTTTACTGTCATAAATACTTGTAGCATTTTCATTAATAAAAAAATTTAGTGGCAACACCAAACATCTTGTAGCTGCTGTAAAATGTAGTATTTCTGTTTATAAATTTTTCTGTTTTTATAGAAGTGTGTGCATGCTGTGTATCTCATTGAATAATAAAATAACATTGCTTTGTAACATAATTTTGAGTAATAGCATATATAATACAATTTTCATCAGACAATTGCCCATATCCAAATCTTGGAACTACAGAATGCCTAAGATTTTCAGTTAGCATCCAATGGAAGTTTTAGAAAACTTTATTTTTTTTTTGACTGAGTTTATAAAAGAAGAAATATTTCAGTGATATTAACATGTACAAAATTGTGTAATTTCTTTTTCTTTAGATAAATTTTCTCTGATAAGCTTCACAATCAACTGCTTAGTCTTGACCACTTGCCTTCAATCATCCTTTCAAAGGAAGATTGTTCAAATGGAAGAATCTAGAGTTGACACTGTATCAAATATTGAATATACTGAGGGGTGCAGGTGGGGTGAATAAAGTAGATGACATCTTAAATGACTGATTGCCTGTTTTTGTAGGTCACTCAGAACTGATGCGTCTGCTGATATACTCAGGTTTCAATCCACGCCAACAAGATGTTTATGGTCAGACACCCCTTCACCTGGCGTGTATAAGTGGAAATCTTACATCTGTACAGGAACTGTGTGAACAGGTGATTGTCTCCCCATAAATCTTCAGAAACCTATTTATAAAGGTTTTGAAAACATCATAATTGATCTCTGTTGACAAGTTGAAAGTTACGTTGTATAGTATTATAATATTCCAAACTAGATCCTGGAAACTTGAGGCATGTAGAGTAAACTTGGAGAAACATTTCTGGTCACTGTTCAGTGGTATTTGAGGTTTGGATTCTACACATACCTCATCAGAGTCTTACTGTTTTAACACAATGTTTCATCATACCTTTGCAACTTAATTCATATATTTAATATTTGTTTCAGAACTGCAATATTATGATATAGAGTTTATTAACAGTGATGTTATGTCTTAATTAGAATAGACAATTTTATGCCAATTTGTTTTAATTGATCATTGGTTTGTTATGTAGGACGGTGTTGAGATTGACATAGCAGATAAAAATGGGAAGACTCCAATATCTCTAGCTACAGGACGAAAACATGATGCTGTAGTAGATTACCTCAAACGCCAAATTAAACAGAAGAAAAGTTTATTACCTAAAATCGATTTGTTGTAAGTACACAGAAAATATGTAAAATATGCTACAGTTCTTTTTGTTGAAAAACCTGATGTACAAACATTCAGAAGTCAGTTGTGAAGTATAAAACAGTAAATTTGGAGTGATAATCATACTTTTTATTTATGTAAGTTGTTTTAATTGTGTCACAACACATGAAATAACAAAGTTTATTTAACTTACATACAAACTTTTCATTCAAAATATTTCTATTATCAGCATGAATTATAAACATTATTTATTTCTCTTTGGGAAGAATATGTAGTCTAAAATTGTAAGTCATTCTAACTTAGCTTGATCTGTTTTGTCGTTATAGAACTATTGCCTTTGGTCCCCCTGGAAACAGCAAAGGAGCTATCTTATTTTTCATGGTTAATGTTCTGTGTTGGGGTTACCCTATGTATGTTATCAAGGTTAGTATGTCTACGTTGGATTGCTATAATAAAACTGTATACAAGCATAGATATCTTAGTTTGTATGACATTGACACATTGTGTAATACATTCAATATATTGCCTCCTATTACAGATACTGTGCTTGGATGTAATGTAATTTAATTTTATTACTGTTATATGACCATGCATACAATCATGATCAGCTTTCGCCAACAAAATTGCATCAATAATAAATGTAACAGATCTTCAAAGGGGGCCACTCCTTACTGCTCAATAATTATACTGACAAATAATATTAATGTCTTTAATTTTCAAACCAAAAAGCTGAGTATAGAAACCAAATAATACAACCGGTGATCATCTGTATCCTTAGGGTATTAAATATGGCTGCATTTTAGACAGACTTTGATATATAATTCATAAGAGCTACTTGATTTAAGATGAGTTACTGTAGATATTCAACATCAAAAGAAATTTAATCTGTTCATTGAATCCTGACCAAACTGTCATGACTATATCAAAATTTATCATTTAGTGTTTACGATATACCTGGTATGATTTTACCTGTTCACTGAATCCTGACAAACTTATAACAGCTTTATCATAATTTATCATTTCAGTGTTTACCATATACCTGGTATGATCTGCAGATACTTCACATCATCTTCTTCATTTTTAACATCCTCATGTGGTTTTGCTTGTTCCACGCCAGTACCACAGATCCAGGCTTCCTACCAAGAAACATACCAGAATATGATATGGCAATAAAACAGGTATTGTGGACAAGTAATGTTCTGATGCTAATGTTTTACCGTGAATAATTTGTCCTTTACTTTACAGCTTTGATTTGATTGAGATGACCTCACAACATCATTGATAATGTCAGATAATGTTACAGTGTGATACGTTTGGGTAGATATTTATAATGTTAATGTAGAAGAGATACAACAAAACATTGTACAGCATGGTATATCATACTTATATCAATCAGACTCTGTTAAAATTCTTATCAATGAATATTCAGGAAAATTAAACAGAAGTAAACTTTTTGAGGGTTTCATTTTGCTTGACTTTGACCTTGTTCAGAATTTAAATGCAATGTAAGCTTTCAATTTTTTATGTAGAAAATTCAAAAGCTTCAACTATTTTACTGTTATTCCTTTGTCATATATGATGAAAAGGAATTTGACATTTATAACAGGTCGCTCATTTTGACGAGTGGAAGCAAGGAGAGAATCCCCTCAGTCGCCTCTGTCATACATGTCGTACAGTGAAGCCCTTACGTTCCAAGCATTGTCGTATATGTAACCGGTGTGTGATCATGTTCGACCACCACTGTCCTTATATATACAACTGTGTAGGATACAAGAATAGGTAGGTCACAGTCAGAGTTACCTCCCTGTGATACATGTTGTATAGTAAAGCCTTTACATTCCAAACATTATCGTTTATAATTTCGGTGTGTGAACATGTTTGACCACCACTGTCCTTATATATACAACTGTGTAGGATACAAGAACAGGTAAGTCACAGCTAGAGTTACCTCCCTGCTTGTGCTCATATCAGAAATAGATGTCAGCTTGCCAGTCAAACAAATGTTATCCAATTCAGCTTAATACTTGAGCAGGTGACCAGAATTTAATGTTTTAATAGGTTTTGATATTTAAAACAGACTCTTTGATTTGAGAAATTTACTCATCCACTAAATATTGATGAACTTTTTTAGACTAAGGACTAGTTTCGAACCTTGTGTTGAGTGTAGTATATTTTGTATTATACTAGGATGTCTTTTGAGCATCTATAAATATATTCTGTGTTATATACTCAGTAACAGAAGAAAAGTTCATACCTCTCTGTGACAAGGAGTTATATCATACAACACTGTTAACTTTCATAATATAAATTTTTTGTTGTGGGATTTTCTGACAAACTAACACCCTGTTTTGAAAACTGCTATTATCACAATTCTTTTTGTCACGCTGTGTAGAGTGAGAATTTATCACCAAAGTGTTATGTTAATCGATAAGTCAAAGGTATTGCAAAAAAATCATTGAACGAACCACGGTAACGTCAAATTGTCTTTACAAGAACTGAATGATCCAATAATTGAAAAAAGCCTCTAGGCCCGTGGATGACATGTTTAGCTGTCCTTACATTAACATGTAGATCCAATATTACAACCGTTGTTAAGGCTGCTTGGCTTTTTTAATCACTTTTGTATCTGCCCCTGAGAATACAAGAAAATTTGCTTTGCATTGTAAATTTGTTTGCATTGTTTATGAATTAGTTATCGAAACAAATTTTTAGGCCATTGATGTAACTATATTGGACGTGATCAAGTTTGATAATTATTTTAAAAATTAATCAATATAAAAGATGTTCATTAGCTTTGCCTTATGAAATTTTAGAGATTGTAAATTAGTTGTCTGTCTCTCAGAAGCTGACCAATAATTACTGACAAAAACCACAGCATCCGGTTAATTAGCAGTATCACAAGACAGTGATACTACACATTATGCTAAAGTTGTGACTCCTGAAACTCCACTCATCCTGAATTAATGCCTAGCAAAATCAAGTCACTGAAACATTTACCATAGTGTATGACAGACTTTTTTTTTTAATTTAACACATGTAATGACTTTTGGATCTGTACTGAGTATATACATAGATATCAATGGGTTTTATGTCGTTACCTAATATACACAGAGATCTATAGTGAATGATTGGTAACATAACACCATAAACTTGTTGTATTAAATATATTTCTATTACCAGCGTCATATTAAATATTTGTTAACCCCCCCACTCCAATGAACATATATTACATTTACAAGGCATTTGCATGGCGCTTAGTGTCCTCCTTTATCAAACTTTCCCTATAAGCATGCCATCTGACTTATTTTGGATATGGTACACTCCCTCTGCGTCCAGACTAAACACTAAACATTCACCAGGCTGGTTTACTGCTGCTTATTTGGTACTGTGTACTTGCTGCATTTTGCCATTATATGTGTTAATAGAATGTTAAATCTCAGATGTTTGCTCTGGAACAGTAATATTAATTTATGTTTAGCTGTACATGTTGTTTCACAGTATTTGTGAAGTGCCTCTATGTTAACAGATTCTTCTCATCATTCCCTGAATAGATTGAAGATAAAAGAAGAAATTTTAAAAAGGAAATTTTTTCCAAACTAATTTGTTGGTACTATCATTCTAGAAAATAAGAAGCATTTGATTTTTATTTTTTCTCTGTTGAATGGTTGCACCTTTCTGGATTAGCATATGTAATTCTGATAAACAAAAACTTTCGAGGTCTTATTTGTATTGTTTTAAATTAAAATTCATTGTCTTGTTAAACAAAGCACCAACAACTCTATTACATTCATGTATAAGTGACTTACTTACTTATTCTCATGTTGTCTTCCTTTGGTTTTACATTCTATATATATATATTTATTTTTATTTTTTTTCCGCAATTGCTTCACAATTCTGTTCCTGTGCAGATTTCCAGTTTTCTATACTTTCCATGTAGTAATTAATACACCTGTCTACACCACATTTCAGCCTACCTATGATATACCTGTCTATATCACATTTCAACCTACCTATACTAATTCCGGTAAAATACTTAGGATAACAGTTTGTGTTATCTCCCCTTAACTGATGTAATTACAGTAATAAGTTGGTAAAAGTACATTTCTTACAATTATTGGTGCAGCTTTTGACACAAATTTTGCAATGAAAAAAATAATGGGGATGTGATCCAGTCAGATTTTTCCTGCAGTATTTTTGCAAGTAAAGTAAATTGGTTAATGATAGATTATCATCAGCAGATTAACTTGATGAAATGGGCAGTAATTATCAATATAATCTATTCATATATTCAGATGTACATTTATATTAGAACATGAGTACTGATGTGTGTATACTTTGATATTCAGTATCATTAAAACATGCTGTATCAGCTGACTAACAGCAACCAGAAGGATGGAACATTTTTTATAAGTTTAATATGACTTAAAGGCTTTTATAGCTTTGTGTTGTCAGCATTCTTTTTCTGTCTTGTATCCATCAAAATTCAATTTGTCCAACAATTCAAAAAAGAAGAATAGCTATAATATGAGGCTTCACTGTGGTTCTGGGTACATGGCTCTACGTACACCCTTAATACCTGCAATTAACAGTTTCAATGTACATGTATATTGTTTATATAACATTTTACTTACACTGACCATAAAAAATCATGCCATATAGGCAACCAGCTTAAGGAAGGTATTTATTCATTAGAAGCAATGATGAGACAGGAAAGGGTTCAATATACACTGCTGAATTTTAGATTACGATTTTATAAAATTATAGTGTTGCCCTCCCAATCCTAAATTCACAGTGATAACATCACTGTCCCTGATTCATTTTTAGTCTACAATTTTTTAGTACACATTTCAGTTTATCAATGTCATAATCTTTATTTCAAGATCTATGAACTATATATAGATATAAAAGTTGGTTTTTTTGTTTTGTTTTCCTTGCATTATAAATTGGTTCAAATTATGGCCTTAACATGTCATAAAAGCTTGTTAGAACTTATCTGTGAATAGAAACTAAATTATTGGATTGCTGAAAGAAAAACAAAACAAAAGAAAAAGAAAATATATAATAGACATATAGGCTGTGTAAGACTCTCACCTGTCATAGCTCATTGATTATAAATATAATTGATATACCATATTCAACCTTATAAGTGCACTTTTCCCTTATAAAACCTCAAAGTGAATGAGAAAACTTTTACAGGGAAAATGTTGTGGAGGAGAGTCTTTCCACATGAAATTTTGACAGTAAAAGCCATACAATTAAAAATAAAGTTTCAACCAAATATTGTTGTAACTTGTCATGTGGTAGACAGAGAGTTAAAAAAAAAAACCCATTTTGTATTGATAGGTCAGTAAGTATACCTATCAACGTTCCAGAAACAGCGAGGTATATTTTTATAGGACAATTGCATTTACTTGGTTGAATATGATTCTTTTATTGAAAATGTCTGTATTAGTTTAACATAACCAAGATCTACATAACATCTTCTATAATCTGATTAACCATAACACCTATGTCAGTCCTCGCTCTTTGATTCAGTCACCTGTCCCTTGTTCTCAGTAAAAGTGACTTTAATCTGAAATGGCTGGCATAAGTAGCAATTTGAATTATGAGCATTTGTGATTGGTAGATTAATGGACATTAGACGTGCCTGGATTAATGGATATTAGTGGTAGCTAGATTAATGGATATTAGTGGTAGCTATGTTAATGGATATTAGTGGTAGCTATGTTAATGGATATTAGTGGTAGCTATGTTAATGGATATTAGCGGTAGCTGGATTAATGGGCATTAGTGGTAGCTAGATTAATGGGCATTAGCGGTAGCTAGATTAATGGGCATTAGTGGTAGCTAGATTAATGGGCATTAGTGGTAGCTAGATTAATGGGCATTAGTGGTAGCTGGATTAATGAACATTAGTGGTAGCTATGTTAATGGACATTAGTGGTAGCTATATTAATGGGCATTAGTGGTAGCTAGATTAATGGGCATTAGTGGTAGCTAGATTCATGGGCATTAGTGGTAGCTGGATTAATGAACATTAGTGGTAGCTATGTTAATGGACATTAGTGGTAGCTAGATTAATGGGCATTAGTGGTAGCTAGATTAATGGGCATTAGTGGTAGCTAGATTCATGGGCATTAGAAGTAGCTGGATTAATGGACATTAGCGGTAGCTAGATTAATGAACATTAGTGGTAGCTATGTTAATGGACATTAGTGGTAGGTAGATTAATGGACATTAGTGGTAGCTGGATTAATGAACATTAGTGGTAGCTATGTTAATGGACAATAGCGGTAGCTAGATTAATGGACATTAGTGGTAGCTGGATTAATGTGCATTAGCAGTAGCTGGATTAATGAACATTAGTGGTAGCTATGTTACTTGACATTAGTGGTAGGTAGATTAATGGACATTAGTGGTAGCTGGATTAATGGGCATTAGCAGTAGCTGGATTAATGAACATTAGTGGTAGCTATGTTAATTGACATTAGTGGTAGGTAGATTAATGGACATTAGTGGTAGCTAGATTAACGGGTATTAGTAGCAGCTGGATTAATGGGCATTAGTGCTAGATTAACAAGCATTGGTGATGGCTGGCAAAGGAATTAGTGGTATATAAATAAATATGGAAGACCAATTTTTCTTACTCAAAAAAATGTGAAGATATTTTAATAATCAACCACAAACCAGCATTGTTTGAAATTTATTGTTTCAGAACCATACTGTACAAAATCCAAGTGGTGTGGAATAAAATACCTCTTAAAAGCCAAATAAATGAGACGTGTGTTTCCTTATCTGGATTTATTTATTTTTATTGAATAGCCACCATCACCTACTGGTTTTTCTAGTCAACAGTCCATTATTTCTCATTACGACTTCTTCTCAAAACTGTTTGAAGTATCTGCTTAAACTTTTAGCAATGTGTTCACTTATTGGTGCATTATGTGTACACCACTGATATGTTTTTGAGCTTTCTGTGATACTCAATAATGACAGTCTTACGGGAAAAATAAATACTATATACGAAATATCATCTTATAGGAAAAGAGTTTGTTCAGGCTCACGTCAGCTCTGTCAGTTAATTTTGGATGATTGTTTTCATGTTGGGTATTTCATGATATTGTGTGACTGAATGCATTAGGTAGAACCTAGTTTTATTTCTGGCTTTTGGGTGTGTTACTTCTGTGTCTAATGTTGGTCCATTATACAGGATCCTTTCCTAAAATAAAGCTTTTGGTCAGACATAAATTTGATAACCTGTGTGTTTATTATTGTAGGCCATGGTTTTTCGCATTTGTGATCACTATATTAGTTTTGGCCATCATCACCAATTACTTCTGTTACTTCCTGCTGCGGGACTTTGGCTGGGACTGGGTAGTAGTCATTGGCACTGTGGAGGCAGGCCTTGGTCTCACAGCTGTCACTGCAGTCTCAATTCTCATGGTAAGGCAGCAGGTGCAAATCACACAGGGTGTTTCAGGATTGTGTGGACAGGTTTCAACTTTCCAGTTCATCACCATTTGATCAGAAAAAAGGTTGAAGTAGATATCTGTTAGATTTGTTTACATCTGTTTTATTCTTTGTTTTGTTTTTTTTGTTGTTTTTTTTTGTGGAGAGTTGGGGTTGTTTGTGTTTGTTAATTGTTTGTCAGATTAGCTTATGATGCTGACATGTTTAAAGTGCTTTGTAATTAAATACTTTTTTTGTATTTGGAATCAAATGGTTTACTGGAAAGTTGAACTGTTTGTCTGCATCTTTCCTCTCATCAAAACTTCATGGTTCATTAAACATTTGACTATGTAAATTAACAGCATTTCATTGTTAAATTAATCATGATGTTTTCTTGAATTTTTTTTTCTTGAAAGCAGATGTTTTCATGTCATAATTTGAAATGACAAGCTGCATTCATAGTATGCTAAAGATTGGTGTAAAGAAGGATAATTCTGTGTTTGTTTTAACACAGTATTACTTCACTACACCACCTAATCAGCTGCATATGTTAAATCAGAAAGGGCAACCAAGGTTTTATAGTGTGTTGTATTACGATGTCAGAGGTTCCGGGCCTTGTTTTTCAGAGTATCGTTTATAGGATATGTACTTAATGTGACTATGTGTGGCACAATGAGCATATTCTTCTCCTGGTACTATATGCAATACTATGAGGAATGGAACGCACTCTACGTGTTTTACTTCGGAGTCATGCTGTTATTTGAAAGCATTGGGGTATGGGTCGGTTCCTTCACGGTAAGTATTCTTGACTGTACATTACAGATATTTTCAGTTATTTGCATGTCGATTTTAAAGGTAAAATAATTGTAAACAATAAGATGACGTAGACGTTTATTCTGATTCAAGGTTTTTAAAGAAGAGATGTCACCTGTTTAACTGTGAGATATTTACGTTTGTTTCCTGACAGTCTTAATTTATCAATTTGCATTAAAAAAAACTTTTTTGATTTACAAAATGAGTTTGTGAAATGTCAGCCCGTTTTATGGCATGTCATGTAAAGTATGTTACAATTCTGTTACAGCTGTTCAATGCCGCACAAAACATCACAACAAATGAGAGATTGAGATATCGACGCTATAAACACATGCAAGATAAAGATGGAAATCTGGCCTTTCCCTTTGACCATGGCCTGTTACCTAATATACTGGATTACTTCCATATAAAACACATCCCATCAGAATCCATTGATGATTACATCAAAATCCGATCTCTGTAACGTGATCTGAATCTAGTCAGAACTTTATAAAGTTGATCTATACCACACGAGATTTCTGCAACAAGGATCTGAACCAGCTAAGATTTCCATAATGTGATCTAAATCATATAGGATTGTTATAATTTTAATCTGAACTTATTCAGATCTCTGTAGCGATGATCTGAACAGGATCAGATCTCCGTAGCAATGATCTGAACAGGATCAGATCTCTGTAGCAATGATCTGAACAGGATCAGATCTCTGTAGCAATGATCTGAACAGGATCAGATCTCTGTAGCAATGATCTGAACAGGATCAGATCTCCGTAGCAATGATCTGAACAGGATCAGATCTCCGTAGCAATGATCTGAACAGGATCAGATCTCTGTAGCAATGATCTGAACAGGATCAGATCTCTGTAGCAATGATCTGAACAGGATCAGATCTCCGTAGCAATGATCTGAACAGGATCAGATCTCTGTAGCAATGATCTGAACAGGATCAGATCTCCGTAGCAATGATCTGAACAGGATCAGATCTCCGTAGCAATGATCTGAACAGGATCAGATCTCCGTAGCGATGATCTGAACAGGATCAGATCTCCGTAGCGATGATCTGAACAGGATCAGATCTCCGTAGCGATGAACTTAACAGGATCAGATCTCTGTAGCGATGATCTGAACAGGATCAGATCTCTGTAGCGATGATCTGAACAGGATCAGATCTCCGTAGCGATGATCTGAACAGGATCAGATCTCTGTAGCGATGATCTGAACAGGATCAGATCTCTGTAGCGATGATCTGAACAGGATCAGATCTCCGTAGCGATGATCTGAACAGGATCAGATCTCTGTAGCAATGAACTGAACAGGATGAGATTGAGGTCATGTTGGTCATATTGGGTACATTTGTGTTTATTATATGTTATAGTCAACATGTGTTGCCTTTTCTATTTAACTTAACAGTGATATGCAGTGATTAGGAATTCTCTGCTGCTATTTTCTGTCGTTCTGTAAAAACTTTTGAAGGGGATTTCTTCTGTGGGCATCATTGTCCAGAGTTTCAATCAGTAAATGAATATTCATTCAATACGTTGGAGAAAATTTAAATATTCAATGAAGTTTAAACATAAACTATTTCATTCATACACAGGTATCAAAATGTGACCCTTTTTCATTGATAAAAATAAAATGAGCAGATGGACATTTGAATCTCAAACAAGTAAAGTATATGGTACCATACATTCTTTACATTGTTTTGCCTTGCTGAGATAACATCAATTGTGATGAGAAAATGACGTCATTTATCATAAAAAAAGAAGAAATCTGCTTGATGAAGTGTTTTTATTGATTGATGAAAGTATCAGTTATGAATTTTCAATCCTTGATGGAAGTCTTTATTTTCCTTAATAAGAAAATTGACAGTGTTTTTATTTATGACTTCTTGGATAAAGTTTGTTTTTGTGTTTCTGTTATTGTTGAAATTGATATAGAATATGTTCTGATATTTCAGACTTATCATGCTGCGGCCAACATTACTGCGAATGAGAGAGTCAATTATAAGCGGTATTTATACCTAAAGGATGGGAAGGGGGCTTTCTATAATCCTTTTAACAAAGGTGTCGTTGAAAATTTAAAAGAATTTTTCTTTTTACGAAAACTTTTAACTGAACGAGATGTGGATATTCTTCATGTATGATACTGTTGTTAAAAGATCTTGGAGAAAGACTGTTTTGTAAGTGTTTTACTGAAATTGCCAAACAGCTGTGTTGATCATTTAGTCCTAATGATGTAGGGACAGTTGTTTTCTTCCCCTGTAACATTGAAAACAAAATTCACCATTCAATTGTAACTTTGTCAATCATTTACTAGTATTGGAAGACAAAAGGTTTCATTTTGATCTTTGTATTTGATAAAATTTTAATATTTGCTGAAAGCCATTTTATATAGGTATTTAATAATTTTGTAGGACTTTTTCTGGTGAGCACCATTTCCAAAATTTTTGTGAGTTCAGTAACAAGGAGACTTAGCAGGTTCCCAAAATTTGAGTGAGTCCCAAACGAAAAGCAAGAGTTCAGGACTCAAATATTCAAGTCCCAGAAATCTCTGTTATATATATAGTATGACAAACCTAGCATAGTGTATTATACAAGACCTTTTCTTGTCACAAAGTGTCACAAATTTTGATGAGCCAGTACGTGTAAGGTCATGGCATTGTATATCATGAGGTATCTGTGGTGGTGTATGAGTTGCTGTTCATGTTTTGGCAGGAAATTAATTTGCCTAATCGGAAATCAAGATTATATGAAGGGAAATTGATTTTGATTAGTTACTAACTAAAGAGAGTTTTACAGTGGGTTTATCTGGGAACACAGAACATTTATCCTTATGTGAGTCCTTTTAATTTTCCCTTATGTCAGCTGTCTGGAGTGAAATTATCACATGAGCATTAACAAACTATCATATGACAAGATGTTAATATCTATTTATCTCTAAATTATTAGGTACAGAAGATTCATTTTTGAAAACCAGTACCCATATAAATATTTTGTTGGCTAGAAGTGGAGGGAGAAGCTGTTTGATAGGATTACTGGTAGTGGAGAGAGAAGCTGTTTGGTAGGATTACCAGTAGTGGAGGGAGAAGCTGTTTGATAGGATTACTGGTAGTGGAGGGAGAAGCTGTTTGATAGGATTACTGGTAGTGGAGGGAGAAGCTGTTTGGTAGGATTACCGGTAGTGGAGGGAGAAGCTGTTTGGTAGGATTACTGGTAGTGGAGGGAGAAGCGGTAGTGGAGGGAGAAGCTGTTTGGTAGGATTACTGGTAGTGGAGGGAGAAGCTGTTTGGTAGGATTACTGGTAGACGAGGGAGAAGCTGTTTGTTAGAATTTATAATTTCATTTCAAATATGTATCACATGCCATGGATTATTCAAAATGTGTTCAGCATGAAGATTCCAATTTAGAACAATATCATTTATCAGAATGTGTAGCAGTCAATGCAAAGAAAACTGTTGCTAGGTGCTTCTGATAAAATACATACATTTACAGTAATTTCATTTAGATATAGGTACAACATAGTCCATGATACATTACAACATTTTTAGAAAAAAAAATATGTGAATTATTTTAGTTAAGACTATCAAATTAAATGTGACAGAAAAAAAATTTAGAATTATAACATTTGGATATTCATACATCAGCATATCTGATTAGTAAACATATGTATAAATGCTGTCTTAATTATGACTGTGTGGAAATATCACCCACAAAATTCATTTGAAGGACATCTACCAATATTTTGTTCTGTTACAAAACTTGATCCCAGCAATAGGCACGGAACTGCTGTTATGTTTATATCTTTACGCTCATGCTACACTGACATCTTGTATTACATATATTAACAGCTCAATTTTTTAATATTTTTTTATGAAGCACTTTAACCAAGCATTGTTTATTAATTTCTGGCTCATGTGATTGGTATATGTACAGTGGTATTTCTGTTATCAGTCTACAGTGTATTGATGAGCTGCTGTTGCTCGTTGTATTTATTACTAACAGTATTGATATTTCGCCGGTGACACCAGGGACAAACGCATCCTTTAGAAGGTTTGAATCTTATTCATGCAGTCTAATACTTCCTGTAGACGTATCTGATGAAGGACAAGTGAATATAATTATGTTTTGCAGAGTGTAGTTATAATTAATAATATGAAGTTTGCATACATGTGACTGATATAAAAACTGATGTTACTAACAAAAACCATTTTGTACAATGTTGTGTTCACCATCCATTGTACCACATGTCAGTTTGTTGTTCACTAATATATTGCTTTTTATACAAATTAAAAAGAGATAAAACATAATTTTTACACATGCAATTTACTTTCTGAATACTGAACTTTGCAAAAAAGGTGAAATAGTTTCAAAGTGGATCACCACAGGTTATCAAAACACAGATTTTTATGGCTACTTTTCATTTAGTCATACATCATATTTATCGAGCAATAAAGCTGTATTTGCTAAGAAGACCACTCATCTATATTTCAATTCCTTAAAACCACCAATAAATACTTTTGAAAAGTCCCATAATAAGCCCACCCTTACCTTTTAGTCCAAGTGTGGCCTGCTGGGTTCTCTTTAGATACCTAAAGTATGTAATACTACTGCTAGATTTTGTTCCTTTGTAAGTAACGATTGATAAAGTCACGAAGAAAGTTGGTTTACAAACAATAGTTATTGTGACACCAAAGGATGTTTGCTATAAGCATAAAGAATGCAAGATAGAAATGTACAGGTGCTTGACAGGTATTGTCCAAAACACGAGTATAGCATCATTAATGATGAACAGGTCACAAATCATTTATTGGTTATACTTACCAAGCTGTGTTGTTGTAAAGTATCCTATGTACCATTTGTATCACCTGTGTTAGATATTATATGTAATGGAAAACTGGATGATTCTGGTTGTCTTTCTATTGAACTGTGTCAGACAAACCACAAAACAAAACCAAATCACATTGGATGAGGTTTTGAAGGCTGAAACTAGGAAATAATGAGAGTATGTTAACATTTTCAGTGTATTGGTATTTTGTACCAGAAACATGATACTGAATGTGAACAGATGAAACTAAACATCTTCTTTTGTGATTTGTGTTGTACATAACGTTATCATATTAGCATTATATTGATATCGTGATACTGTAAACGTACCTAATTTAGCACAATCAGATTGTAACACATTATCAATTTTGGGCAAATTAATGCAAAGATAAATTTATACATTGTTAATATTTACTTTATACAAACAATACACAGAAACAACTATTAGCACAATCATGTTTTAGAGCATTAATTTCGGGGTGAAAAGTGTGAAAATATGACCACCACTAAAATATGTATGTTTACAGTATTCATCAGTAGCCGATTGTAAATCATTTCTGTACAATTATATAATTTATTACTGTGTGTTACACTGAATACTTACATTATGACAAGTCTTTCATGCTGTTTAGGAAGATAGATA